CTCTCCGTGCTGTTTAATTAAAAGCTAATTAGCTTAAGAAACTGTCGCGCTTTGTCCCCCGCCTCGACCTCTCGCCCCGTAGCGCGAAAAGTATTTCATGATTCGCATATGCCACGATGTCCCTGGCTAATTCTATCCCCGTTAGATAAGCTTGATGAAATTGCAGATGGGTCTTTAAAATAGCGCAGTACACACAACGCGCGATACGTGGCGCGAAAAATCGACAACACGCCGCATTGACGTCGGAAAACATATTTTGCTCGCGGTGTTTATTTTAGGAGATGGCAGACACATCCAATTTCGAGAGTCGATCGTTTCACGTCATATGCACTAAGAGGAAATTAATGATTAATTACCTCACTAAAATTAGCTAGCCATTTTCGGCGTCAATCGCCGACATTTATTCGATGTTTTAGTGAATTAAAGGTAACTCAAAATGTGGTAACAATATGCATATAGAATATTTTGCCATTATAATCGTATGGAGATTTACCAATTTTAAATACCGTAATAAAACCTATATTACAAAAATCTTTCTCTAAAATGCAGTGATTTCGCTATATGATCGCTACGTTGACCGGGAATTCTGTTCCCATCGAATACCCGTTTCATTTATCGGCATAATTCTATTTGAAAATCCGTTTTGTCGATATTAACAGTCGTTCAATATTTACGGAAAGAGACTAGAATGAATCTGATGTAGTCGCAAATATGTTTTTTTTTTTTTTAACCAGGATACACGCCCACGAATACGTAACACGATGTTTTGTTGCCTCGTAATGGGAATTAATTGATAATTGGAGTAAACGAGAGACAGTATATCTCGAGTCGAGATTATGCTAAACTTTTAATTCTACAACACATTAAAAACTAAGATAGTAAAATAGGTTGAATTCTAATAATATAATTTACTCCTACTCTGACCATGATGATACATTAAATTTTCTGCTGTTCCTTTTTATTTTTTAGCGTCTTTGTTGTTTTTAACGTCAAAATGAGTTGTTTCGAATATCCATATGAATTTGATAATGGAAATATTATGAACATTTATAGCTTCAAAGCAGCATTAAAATGAAATCCGTAGAATTAAATTCAAGAATAATGTTTGGAAACGTAGTATCATCAAAGTAGATCTTTATAATTTATAAGTTCACGGAGAAAAATAACTTGCTGGCACAGCATATACGCTGTTGCAACCAAATCTGTCAGGCACTGTGTGGACGTGAAGCGATTTGTTAAGAGTATTAATTCCAGCCATTCGTTGGATTATTTTGTTGAATATACTAATTATTTTTCTGTAAGAACAAATGAATAAATGCAGCAAAACTATTTTGTCCTAACAATAAATTACATATAACATGTCCTAAAGACAAATTCACTCAGCAGAATGTTTCTATCCTGGCAATGAAACTGTTGCCGTTCTAATTACAAATAATTCGCTAATTTGTGCCAACTAAATTTTATCGTTTGTCACGATTATTTTTCTCCGTGTTCAAAAAGTATAGCAGTAAAAGTGAGGAACAACTTGCTGTAGAATTACAAGTTCAAGGGAGAAGTTAACAAGTATGGTATCATCAAAGTTGGATTTTACTAGACTGTACGCTAAGTGGACGCAAACTATCCTATAGAGCGCCGAAATAACGTCGAAATTTCAACTCGGGATGAAAACGACTCCTCGATAAAAAGACGAAAATGTGCCGGGAATGTGCGTGCGCGAGCATGTATTCACGTGTCGGTATATTCACGAGTATCCTCGCTAGTGACACGCAACAAAGTACAACACGGATCAAAGTAACGACGCTTTGATGCCGAGTATTAATATCATCGGTGTGGCGCAAACGCTGCCACTTACGACGGGACGGGATTAAACGGCTCGTTTGTTTGCGGCGCGATGCTCCCCGCGTGTCGAAGATCGCGATGGAATCTGTTTGCGATCGTGCCGGCTCCTTTAGGTCCAAGGTTCCCATAAACTCCGTGCGGTTCAAGGACTCCGCCGGCGCCTTGCGAGGGACAGACAGGGAAAGAAAGTGTGTGTGTGTGTGTGTGAGAGAGAGAGTGAGAGAGACCTGTCGATTTGGCGCATTCGCAGTTTCTCGTCCCGTACGGGATTGCGCGAGGATATCTTTTCTTCTCCGGCGATCGTCGACACTCGCGACGACGCCGGGCACATGCACAGCAGTTTGCCTCCCGGATGCCCGAGGTGATCGCCGAGGAATCCCGGAACAACCGCCTGCAACTCGTTCTTCCATTTCCCCCCTCGTATCCGCCCACCGTCGATCGCACCACGAGAAATTGATTGAAACTCTTGCTTCTTTCCTTTCGCTCGGCCACAATCTCGCGCGCTATGCCTGCATATCTGTGTACACGGAGGAGAATAATTTCGAAAGATAGAGAAAGACTGCAAATTTCACTCTGTCGTGAAACACAATGTTTCTCAAATATTGTCCAATATTTTTGGCAAGGTTGAGTAAGTCAATTTTTACATTCAATTGAGTTAAAAGTTCCCAAAACCAAAGCTAACTTAATTAGAAATTAAGTTAATGTTAAATTAACTTATTAAAATTAAAGGTTAATTGTGCAAAGCCGTGTACATGTATTTATGCTTTCTTGCATAATTAACTTTTTAATCGTAGATTAAATGTGTGCTAAATAAAGATAGTTTATTATGGGAAAGTACCGACTGCTTTGTGTTCAGGATTCTGTATAAGAAAAGAACACTCAAAGTAGCGCTCAAAGAACAAAAAGAATTCTGCTGGCATTATTTTTTATTTTCCTTATTTTATATTGCATAGCTCGGGGGGGGGGGGCAATAATATTAATCATGAATTATCTTAACTTATAGGAAAATATTAATAAATTAAAAAGTTAATGTATTTTGTATTAATTAGTTTATGTTAAAATTTAACTTATGTAAAATTAACTAAGTTAAGTTAGAAGTTATTAACTTTTTAGCTTAACCATTAACTGAGTAATCAGTTATTATCCGACTCTGATTTTAGGAATTGATTTTAGAAGTCATTTCATGAAGAAAACTTCATAACATGACGTAGTTTTTCTTCATAAAGTCAACTTCTAAAATATTGAACAGTACTTAGGAACACCCTGTATATTTATTTATTTGATTGAGAACGATATTGAAATTTCCTGTCTCTAAATTATTTTTCTCTGTATATATACATGTATGTGTCTGTGAGATGCCGTCTACGCAAGTCAGCTTCCACTTTGTCGTTCGTTATTCGCCGCGTCATCCGATTGAATCGAATGATTTTCAAAGTCGACATCGAAGTGAATGTTACCTTTCATTGCCTTTTCATTTTAATACCTCGGCTGATGGTTTTGTTATCAATGCTTCAACGATTTTATATCACTTTTATATTACTTTCCTCAGGAGCTGCTTGCATAAGAGATCGCTTTGATGATAATCAAGAATTGTACATATTTCTTCGTTGCATATATGACTATATGACTTCTTTTCTTATGTTACATTCATACGTTAATATCCTTAAGAGACTTATCCTTCGTATGGTTTCTACCACATCGTTATATATAATATATGTACATATGTGCTTGGTTGTTATATGCGTGTGTATGTACAGGATGTTTCATATTAAATGACCGACGAAATTATTTGCAAAATCCCCAAAGAAATAAGACCAGAAAATTCCTTAAGTTTCATCTTTTGGATGTGTTTTATATATTTGAATGACTTTGAATGTCTATAGTTATTGAATTCGTCACGATATATACTGCAATTGCGCATATTCAGAGATATATAGTTCCATTGGGAAAAACTTAATGACCTTGAATGAAATATCCCTTTGATGCATCCATATAGAGAAAAATAAATATATCCATAAAAGAGATGCAACCTTTAAGACGCTTTAATATTTCCGATTATAGAAATGTTTTTATTTCTGTCTCGTCAATATTTTTGGTGATATTCGCTGTCACGCGTTCCACCCCCTATACGTTACATAGCTGCCTCGATGATACACTTCTCGAGAACTCGAGAAATATTTGTCGATAAACAAAAGAGCGTTCTGCGTGAACGAAATTATAGATTAGATTAAATAAACATGTTAGTGTCAGCTGAGATGCAATCGTACGCGTCATGTGAGATTCGACGACTTCTGATCAAATGAGAAACGATAAATGTGCGAAGAATGTCGAGAAGAAAAGACTCAAAAATTTACTTATGAAATGTAAAATTTATTTCACAAAAAAATGTACATTTCGTTGTCACAGTTAAATTTTTGTTTCTAACCAGTATCGAAGAAAATGTCACGAGAAACAATTACTTCCCAAAATTTCAATTTCTTTTTCTCAGTGTACCGCCAACTGCACGCGACCCATAAAGCCAGGGAACGTACACACGGAATTACCGTCGATTTTCGAGTTCCATTAGGCACGCTATTAGGGGCAAATCATTACCACCAGCAATGTATAGGCTTAGTTATCTCATTTAACCGCGATTAACGGGTGCCGTGCGTTTCAAATGAGCTTCGAACGGTCACGGTTGATTTGTAATGCCGGGACGCAGACTCGCGCGGAGAAAGGAAGCGGATGAACGGTTGCGTACAGCTGCGATCCGCGCACGCGTATTTAAATACTAAGTACACTGCAAATCCAAGTGTGTAACTTTTACACTAAACTTTTTACCCAAAAAGAAAAGACATTAAGAATTTTTTTACAGTCTAATATACATCTCCCCATAATTACATATAAAACTCACGTCTATGAAGACTTAAATGTATAAAATTGTTTTATGTGTGTACCTCTTATATTAATTCACGCTAATTGAAAGTACACATTCTTTCACTTTTACACCTTTGTACTATACACCTTTGTACTATATATCATATTATATACGGTAAAATATATTAAATTGCACGTTTAAATGTGTAAATTACTTTTTTGCGCGGTAAAGTGTGTAATTTTTACATGGAAAATCAAATCGCACGCATAAATGTGTAATCTTATATCGATACGTGCGTATTTACTATATATTTAGATTTTCAGTGTAATTTTGCATAAGAACATAAGAACTCCTCATATTCGTTCACCGTTATTCCCCGTAGGGCTCGTTATCTCTCCAAAGGAGACCAACATACACACGCAACGTCATTATTGACCGATTTATTTCTCATCTTATCGCCCGATTTAATCTTACTGATGGTTGACGATTGCAAACTTATCGTGGCTGTGTTTGACACAGATAACGCTCGGATTTGCACATTGCTAAAGGTGGACTAATACTTGGCGCGGAGTTTAATGTCTGCGTTCGCATTCACCGTTGATCGTTAGTATGTCATTGACGTAATCGATTCTCTCTTCGCCAAGACACGTCGGCTATACGGAGAGAATAAAAGACATAGCTTCTTCCACATGCATTCTTTATAACTAAGAAAGAGATTTCTCTCTCCCTCTCTCCGTGTACTGAATATATTACAACAATTTTATCATATATATCGAATTTTTTATAAGTTAAATTAAAATATACGTAATACGTTAAACCTACCTACTGGTATTGGAATTTCATTAACGTTATATAAACACGTCCGCTCACTCGCGTATAAAGTGTACGCGCGATAGCAAGAATCGGCGGCTCGTCGACTCGGCTCGGCGGGAGGCAACCGCGGCAGATAATTTCTCGCGACTTGTGCCACCCGGTATACGCGATAACAAAATATATAAAGTACGCCGAGTGTGTCTTTTCGCGGGCAGACGTGGAAATCCGTGCTGGCGACATTCCCCACGGCCTCCGGGAGAGCCGTGCCTCCGCGGACGCACCAATCGTGGCGATCCTTTCACTATCGGAATTCGAAGCTCGTGCTAAAAAGGCTGATTACCTGTATCCTATTCCCTTTCGAGTGGCTGCAACGGTCGAGGGCCGCCCGCGAGATCGACCGACCGACCACGTCTCCCTCGTCGAAGGCCTACCTGTTCCCCTCGTCGCGGAAGATCGGGCGGAACGGAGTGGAAGAAATCGAGTGATCTTTTTTACGCAAGAATCGACACTGCGAACTTTCCTTCACGCGCGAATTTCGTTTTCGCGCGCCGTCACGAAAGCAGCAGGCGGCAGGTGGTGAACTTAGCCGCGAATAACCGTCGCAGTTCGTGAGAGATCGAGACGCTGCTATCATCGGGTTGATAAGGAGCGGCAACATGTTAACGTGTTACATTACCGCGCTGCAATACGAGTGGATCGAGAGTCGCAGGCGACTGCATTTCGCCGCGTCGCACTCGCAGTTCAAGTGGGTATCGCGATCGCTTTGTAATTCGAAGGGCGTGGGTGACGGCACAAGGGAAGAAGAGGAGCGATCACACGTGGATACGTTCGTTTTCTGTTGCAGGAACAACGTCAACGTCGAGGGCGCGACTCACAAGCAAGTGGTGGACCTCATCAAGTCGGGCGGCGACGTCCTCACCTTGACCGTCATCTCCGTGACGCCGCAGGAGGCGGAAAGGTTGGAGCCCTGCGATGACATGAGGTGAGAACGACCGTGTCCGATGAATAAATACGAGAAGTTAGATCGTCGGAGGTTCCGCGCTCAGAGAAAGAATTAGCCGTGGAAGGTGAAATCTGGCCGTGTTATCTGAAAATGTGCGTTTTTGAAACACGGATGGAGCCAATATCGTCGCAGACGCCGCTAAATTCCTCAGCTGTTCGAACATAGGCGCTACAGCGGGGAATACGAACCAAGTCGCGTTCAATTCTGTACTCACATTCCCGGCTAGAAACGTATCGCTTTCTTTTCTCAAGCAGAAGCTCTGAGCTGCCGATGTGTGCCGATTCTGCTTGAAATCTAGCCATTTACTCGACGCTCCGTGTCGAATTTTTTTACGCGACTTTCAATTCCATACATAATACGTTAAATTCTCGGTGCGTCACATTTACGACATTTTGTTGCGTATTATCCATTCGACATTTTTCTGCATACTCAGTAAAAACATTTCTACAATCAGGCAAGTGAGTCGTCACCCAAAAATGGTGGCGACGAGACCTCTGCGAAAACTCACTTGTCACCCAGATACGCGTTACTGAACTTTGACATCTGAGTTTATCAAGCATAATTGTAACGTCAGTCATTGAAACCTTCAAAGAAGCCCGCTTGATCTCGCGTCCTGCGCATTTCTCGATTTTAACTGCGGTGCGTTTTATCGATAAGATCGTCGATGCTCGAGAGAGCGAAAAGTTCGATAACCGCTGATAATCGCGCCGGTGATCCCTTATCTCTAATGAATCACTCGGGATTGAGCATATGGCACTAATTGCGCCGCATCTTGGCCAGCTATGCTTCAGTGGACTACAGCGAGAAGCGGTCCCTGCCCATCAGCGTGCCGGATTATCACGTCCGCGAGAGGAAACACGAGCGTTACGTCGTCTTCAACGTCCACATGGCCGGCAGGCACTTGTGTTCGCGCCGGTACCGGGAATTCGCGGCGCTGCATATGGCGCTGAAGAAGGAGTTCATAGGCTTCAATTTCCCGAAGCTACCGGGGAAATGGCCGTTCCAGTAATGTTCCTTTAATTACTTATACACACACACACACACACACGAATATGAATAAACTTGTGCGGTCGCCTCGCGAGCGAATCTGCTCGATATCCGCACTGAGAAAGAGATTCCTTCAAATTTAGTCACAGTTTTATCGCATCCAGACGAATTTCACCATTGGCAGGCTCCAAAGAAACTAATGTTTCGATTAATAAAAGATACCGTAGTCTGCATTTACATGATTAACATAAAATCTGTTTAATCATTCTCGATACTGTAATTATCAGTGCTACGTATGTGTGTTTTATAATATAATTGTGATATATAATTATTCACGCGATATCTAACCAACGGTTATGACGTGGGAAATAATTCAATCGATTTTACAGCGTTTATCGACGTAGACTTTACGTGTTGCCAGACCTGGTTTTAAGTTACCGTGTAAACATAGTCCGTAATACCGCCGGGTCTCATTAAGTTTCATACAGAAAATCATTAATTGCATTTGGAAGGTCAGCAGTGTGGATTACAGAGAGCCGACGAAACGCGATAAAAGACACACGTTCGAATTGTATTTTCTCGTATTTTAATCCGAGCCTTCAAGCTTTCGTAGGATCAACGGAAAGCAACGCGGCGATCAACGTGTTAATCTGTTCGCTCGCGTTTCAGACTGAGCGAGCAACAGCTGGATGCGAGGAGACGCGGCCTGGAGCAATACCTGGAGAAGGTCTGCGCGGTGCGCGTGATAGCGGAGAGCGACGCTATGCAGGAATTCCTGACGGACAGACTGGAAGAGGACGGGGATCAAGGACCGGCGGTGGATCTCAAGGTCCTCCTGCCGGACCGCGAGGTCGTTACCGTCACGGTCCTCAAGGCGGCGTCGGTGAAGGACGTCTACGACGCGGTCTGCTGCCGGGTCGGCTTGGACTCGGAGACGGCCAAGTACTTCTATCTCTTCGAAATCGTGGAGTACAATTTCGGTACGCGCTCTAATCACCGCTCTGATCATCAGAGAGCGTTTCCGAAGTGCAGTGGGAAGAAAGGCACTCTTTTTGGACAACAATCAATCCGCCGATCTAATGTTTAACTCATTTCAATGATTCCCTTTTTTTTTTTATTTCCTTCTTCTATATATTTATTTTTTATTTCGTCATAGATTTTCTTTCGACGTAGACTTGCAAATTTTTTCAAGCAGTGCCGGGCTTTAAAACGGCGGATATGGCAATGTGCTTTGGCGATATTTTCCACAACTATAGGTTGCAGGAAAATTTACAATAATTTATAAATATTAATCAATAAAAAAGGAATTGTTGAAGTCGATTAAGTATTAGACCGGCAGCTGATTCTTGTCGAAAATGAGCGCTTCTCTTGCCACTGTGCGACGTGCGATCGATTATTAATAAGCGCATCTCAGTAACGTATTAAACACCGTCGATGCGTTTCAGAGCGGAAGTTACAGCCGCACGAGCACCCGCATACTCTGTACATTCAGAATTACTCGACCGCCAGCGCGACCTGCTTGGCGATACGGAGGTGGCTCTTCAATGTAAATAGGCCTCTGAGTGAGCAGGCGTTAACTTGGATATTCTGGCAGACGGTCGACGAAGTTAATAGAGGTCACATTACGGCGGGTGAGAGATTGTACCAGTTGAAGGCTCTTCAGGACGCTTCTAGGAAGCACGAGGTATGTTCAGAGATTGGAGATCTCGGAAACGATTCAACGCATCTTTTTGGCTCCGTTATTGTACATATAACAATTTGTATTATCTTCACTTAAGTATAAATTATTAACTTAAAGCTCTCTTGGTCCCTCGCTGCAACGGTCTTGTTCGTTGACGTCAGAAGCGAGAAAAATCATGCCTAAAATTTTCGCGAAATACGTGGAAGTGAAAGGATATGGCTAAAATGACGCTTGTGATCTCAATTGAGCATATTTGTAAAATATTCCGAAACCTTTCCTTTTTTGCTCGAACGATCAATAAATAACCGTAAAATTAACGTGACATGCGACCTTCCTTTTTAGCCAATCTTTTCTCATGATTTTGTTACATTAATTTTACGGCTATTTATTGATTATTAAAATAGAAAGAACATTTTGGGGATATTTTATAAATATGTTTAACGGACCACAAGTATCGTTTTTTTTTTTGTGGACATATTCTCTTATTTCAACGTATTCCGTGGGAATTTTGGACATAAGTTTCCTCGTTTCTGTCATTAATCGAAACGGCTGCGACGAAGAAACAAGAGTCTTAAAGCTTATGATATTAAATCTAAAAAATAAAAAGGGTTAAGGAATTAAATTGCTTTTAGTGGTGCGTAAAAATTCATCACAGTGTAGACCGCAAACCAACTATTTGGAAACATATATTATTCCTTTAAAAGAAATCGAAGAATAATATATGTTTCCAATAAATTTGCAGCTTATACTTATCATTAATCAACAATAGATTTGTGGTCTACAGTGATTAATTTTTGCGCCTTACTATCAGTGATTTAAGTCTTATCAAACCTTTTTATTTGTCACTTATTTTTATTTTACATGTGTACACAGGCCGATACAATAATAACTTTAACACATAAATTTACACCATTCCAAAGCTTCCTATCGAAAATACATTACACACTCCAAAAAGATATAACTATGCGTGTCCCAAATGCGTTTTTCCTATTGTGCTACCTGTATACGATAAGATTTAAAACGGTTTCAACACTTTTTTTACGCAGTTTAGAACGCAACGAATGATCCGATGAGAGATGGTCATTTCTCGAGGACGGGTTCTCTTATTGGGCCATCGTTTACGTTGCGAAATGCATAAAAAAAGAAATGTTCAACCATTCGGGCGTTCAAACCTGGTTTGAAACTTACCGTACATCTTCTTTCTCCTTTCTCTCTCACCGGTCTGCATAAAACCTGTATGTGCAGTATTTAAAGTTGGCGAGGGAGCTCAGCGGATACGGCGACATTGTATTCCCGCATTGCACGTGCGACTCGCGAAAAGAGGGCCATGTGGTGGCGGCGGTAGGCATGTCGGCGTTCAAACTGCACGCCGCGAAGGAGGACGGCACGTTGGAGTCGCAGGTAGTGGAGTTCCAATGGAACACCATCACCCGGTGGGAAGTGGACGAGGATGGGATGGCATTCTGTTTCCAATACACGCGCCAAGAAAATCGTCCGCCGCGTTGGCTCAAAGTCTTCACTCCTTACGTAAGTACGACATCTGTAGCGCAGTAGCTGCGCTTCCTGGCTTTGCACTGACGCACGTATTTAGATCCCTTTGAGGTAGTTGGTCCGTGACGATACTGTTAAAAAGATGGTTGACACAACATAAAGAAGCCCGACAAATTCCTACTAAATATACACAGAGAGAAAAAGGTTTCTTTAGATTTAGTATTGCTATTTATTTGACCAAAATCTGTCTCATAGAAACAACATATAGGAAATATTATTTGTTTGAGTACAAATTTTACCGTCTCATTCAGAGAAAATTCGATTATTTAACAGAAAGAACGCTATTATTGGAAATAATATCTTTTAACCAAAGAAAAGATTATTTGGTTACGATAAATATATAAAGCGAAGCAAATAATTTCTTTGTAAGAAAATTATCTTCCGTTTCAAATCAACTTTTTTTATTTAAGATAAAGACTATTCGTTGAAAAGTCTACGATCGTACTTATTAATTAAAACATTAGTTTCTTCGGAGCATGCCGATGATGAAGTTCGTTTGGATGCGATAAAATTGATTAAATTTGAAGAAATCCTTTTTCTCAGTGTACGTTAGTATTGTTTCGTTTACACGGGAAAATAATTCCGCTGGTGTAACTGAATTTTTCACTGCCTGGGGAACAGGCGAGAACTCAGTTGTACATAGATCTTGGATTTTAGTGGAATATAATTAGCCCATCACCTTAATTTATATCTGATGGTATGCTTGCAGTATACGTTCCTCTCGGATTGCTTCGATCGAATAGCCGAAGAAGCGAAATGGGACGATCCTGGGGAATGACGTAATGTGCGACGCTAAGTGACATCCGGTGTGCGACGTTGTTGAGGATGTTGTTCCGAACGAATATCCCCGCATTCGTCTCCTTAGTCGAAATTTTTTACTAGGTTTAGTCTTTAGACCGACACAAACACACACACACACACACACACACACGAACGCGCGCGCGCGCGCAACACGACATGAGAGAGTCAGCGTAGTAATACTTTTAGCATATCAGATTTTCTATCTGTGTTGGCTTTGCGGAACGTTCCCTTGAGAACACGTTAGCAACGTTACACCGGTAGCGAGCGAGTTTGAAAACATATTGCCGTCGGAGCTTAGTGAGGCGGCCGGAAGAACAAACGACAGTGTGAAAAAGACGAAAGGTGTATCGATGAACGTGACATGAATGTGCCCGCGAAATGCGAATTAGCGATTCGAAAGAGAGGGAGAGAGAAGATGTGATGTAAATTTAGACAGAATTTATCATATGCCATGCTCGTCCATGACCTGCTGAGATCTGGTGTGGCTTGGTGTTTGACCGAGCGTATAAAGAAATAAATTTCATCTTTATGCATGAGAGAGAAAGAGAGGGTAGAGAGGGAGGGAAGGAGGGAGGAAGAGAGAATACAGTTTTGACACTGCTTCATTTCGTCGACGAAACGCACGCCACTTCTCCGTTTCTCGACGAGGCACGAAAATCGCGAGCGCATGCGGCTCGAAGAGACACAAGAGAATTAAATAAGTGTGTAGGTATACGCGGGCTATTATTATTATTATTATTATTATCATTATCATTATTATCATTATTAACATTATTATTATTATGGTGATACGGTCGTCCGTCTATAGAAACCACCTATCCTTTGGCCTATAAGTTCTACATAGCGTATAATTCCGTCATCAGAGCGAAAGAATCGATAGAATTGTTACGTAAAACGTTCCTCCTCGTTCGCCTAATAGACCTTAAATTTTCCTGCGTTTCGCATCCGCATGAGGTGGTATACTGATCAAGCGAGGTAAATCGCGAGGCGATTTGCGATGCGCCCCCTATGAACTCTTTAATACGTAATATTTTACGAACGTAGGCGCGAGTTTATCGATTCATTACGCAGGGTACTTTGATGCGAGAGAGATCTCGCCATTGCGTGTTTATGAGGGAGTCTGCGTGTGCGCGGAACTTCGAAGGGTACTCAATAGCAACGGCGCGTTCGATTTGTCGCTTCGCGGTAAGCGCCATTTGTGTGCCTTGGAATTCAACTCTTTGAAATGGAATCGGTGTTTATTGTCACTGAAAATTAGCAGAGTCACTTATAAGTGTAGCATTACAATCGGTAGGATTTCGCTGGAAGGATTTAGTTAATAATACGTGAAGAAGACACAGGTTGAGAATTTATATGAAAAGAAGAAGAAAGATATAATATTCTCTCCGTGTACAATGTATAATGTTACGTCAGAATTCTCCGTTAATACTTCAAAGTGAAATTTGCAGGATTAATATACAAGGAGAAGGAAGATTAATTCAATTAATATAACAGACGAACTAAACTCATTTTGGTCGGAGGGAACGGAATTTCTTCGAATCGAATTTGATTCACAAGAACTAGAAATTCTCTTTTCTTCAAATTAAAATGTATTTGGTTTGTTTACTGTCACGTTAATTCAATCAATTCAATCTTTCTCCGTATAACTAGTGAAATCGTATTTTATTTACGGAAGGAACCAATTGAGGATGTTTTTCTGGAAATCAATGATTATTTTTTGATATCGACGAAATATGTTTTATTAATTTAAAAAAGTTGTAAAAGATGAAGTGAGTTTAATGAGAATTCGATGAAACTTGCACTTTGTATATATTGAAATATTATTTAACTGTTCGTGCAATTAGAAAAAGATTAACCAGAGAGCTGAAATATTTGCTAAGTTTGATACATTTTATACGTATTCCTTGAGATTAGCATACTATTTTTCATCTCTATCTTTAATATCTTTTAAACCAAAAAACAGGCTTTTGATGAAACTATTATGATATTAAAAACTAATATACGACATTATACACCAATTTCAGAATTATTGACCATTTTGTTTTGAAAATATAGCAGTGTAAAGTTCATAATTTCTAATAATACTTCAAATATATATACATATGCACATATTTCAACATTTATATACCATTTCTACAATCTGTGCGTTTCTATTCAATCAACCGATGCATTAGCAGAGTATTAGAGATAAAAATAAAAAAAGTAATATTTTCTTATTTGTAATATTTTGTATATATATTTATCTCGATTTCATCTCAAATTAACGTTTATTATTTAGATAATGAGATAAATATACAGGAGTATAATTTCATTCGACAAATATTAAATTTATGAGTGGGCCCTCTTGATACGTCACTGAAAACACAACAATAAACCTTACAGCCTCCTTCGGAAATATTATCGCCGATTCACTTGGAGAGAAAAAGTTTTCGAAACGGATTGAGCAAAAAGGATTTGCGAGTCCTCGCGACAAATTAGATACATATCATAGCCGGCCCGTCTCGGCCCCACCAATATAAACCTCAATATAAACACGAGCGTGCGAATTGCTTTCCACTGAAACTACCCTGTGTAACGAATACTTATTGAAACACACACGCGCGGCTGCTTCCGTGTGCGCCGCCTCCGTGTGTGTCGACATCAGTGCTCTACACATCCCCTGTGCATTTCGTCGGCGCGTCTAGAATACTCTATTGTTGATGAAAATAGACAAGTGGAAATTGTAAATATATATATCACGATATTACGAAGGCGTACTTTTCAAGACGACGAAACCTAGTCATTCTTTTTTCGTGGAGGTGAAAGGCCGAACGATTTCAGCCGAATTAACGATCACCGGATATCGCCCCACTCCCACCGCGCAGGAGCGGCGATATTCACTAATTATTATTACGCGAGCTTGGCGCGTATAAATCACGAGTGTTTGTGCAGAGGATTGTGTGTGCAGCTGAAGAGCAGCCGCGCTGGATAAACCGTCTTCGGATCCGCTGTGTCTCGGTTTCGAGAGAAACTTCTTCATCGGGCTACTCCCCGTCACGATAAATTTATAAGAATATATATATATATATATATACATATATATGTATATATATGAATATATATATATATATACATACATACATACATACATATATATACACCCTCTGTGCGCGATACGTAGCGAAAGCGTGCGGCATTAGAATGCTCACACCATCCGTATAAATATATACATACACGCATACATACTTATATAGCGCGCGAACTGTGTACAGAAGAGTTTAACAGAGGAAGAAAGAGAGACATAGAGAGAGAGGGAGAGAGAGGGTGGGAGGGATCCATAAAGACTCCGAACAATAATGTAGTAAGCCTGCGTGTACGGCAGAGCGTTAATAGTTTTTCCTCTGTTACTTGAAGGAAATAATACTCATTAATCACGTTTAACGGAGATATAACGGCAGCAAGTAAGAAACATACGAGATAAGCGTTAGCGCAACACTATCATCGGCGGATCCCCCGCGGATCACGCGATCTGGATTCGGCGGGCTCAGCGAGCGAGAAGCGAATATTCGGAGCGAATTCTCTCTTCGTCGACGAGTTTCGGTTTCTCTGTGTTTACGTTCTTAAACGTTCTGTTCTCTCCGTCGCCGCCGCGAGCGGAGCTCAGCTGAGAATCACTCTCTCGTTCTGAACGATTCGCTTGATTTAGCCGTGAGCAGTCCCGAGTAGTGTTGAGACAAATAGGAGGATAGATTATATAATAATCTCGTTAACGTTTTTAAACTTTATTCAGTGGCGTCTCGTATGGCGACGAGTGGGCGAGTGCGCGTAGCTGTACAAGAAAAATCTAACGATGTGAAATATATATATATATATATTCACACACACAGAGAGAGAGAGAGAGAGAGAGAGAGCATAATTATAATACTGTTATAATGGTAATAGAAGTATAGCATAGTGTAATTATATAAACGAATGCGCGTGCACGCGCGAGTATCTGGATGAATATACGATAAGTTGATATTGTAGAACTATTCGGGAAGAGATCACCGACCGGTGATTCCCCGTTGAAAATTTCCAGATGAATTCCATCCACAGAAATCCGTAGGAACTCGTATGAATCCATGAAACATAAAAGTCCATGTAGGAATCCACATACTCAGGAAAGAAATGATTATATCTTATTTTATAAAATCATTAAAATATTTATAAAATATAAAATTTTATAAAATCATATATAAATGTTGCCCATATTGTGTAGTCACATATATAATCATATATGTCTACACGAAAAAAACCATGCTTTGTCGTTTAATTAAATGTCGATATTATGTGCTGTCAGAAGCACAAGTATGGAGCATTTACTTCGATTGTGTTTGCATATAATTTGTAAACAACGGTATTTTTTCGTTGTGGATATTTATAATTATACATGGTCATATATAGGTAAATTTCATATATGATCTTCTTTTTCCCGTGTAAAGTGTGGAAATTCATACACATGGAATCCACATAGAATATAATCCGCTGGGCTTTTGGCGCAAATTCCCGGAGGCAGCCGTAGGATTCTATATGGATTTCCTGTATGGCTCTCCATCTGATTCTTTTTCAACGGGATCTTATTTTCCTTTATTGTAGGGTTAAAAAAAACCCTATATAAATCTAAGGAATAATTGAAGGCTTTCGGCCAGATATCTTCCCGCATAGTTTCACGATACTCGCCCAGATTCGCCGGTCGATGGACGATGTGATACATGCGCGTACACACTATATCCGTACGCCTTACCGTTATAACTAAAGTTACGTGTACAATTTTCGACCTTACGCGTACACAGAATGTCTTAAAATCACCGTAATGTCCTTAATATGATACATGACATATTTGTACGAAAATTTTCGAAAGAATTTCGTTTCATCAAAACAAGCACCTGTGTCACCATCCATGTTGTCATACCTGAGCGCGGGAAATGTCAGCCGTTCGGTTAGTTTTAATCATATATAATCATTAGAAGTCATTGTAGCCTCACTATTTTTCTAATTGAATTTCCACCTTAGAATGTCCCGAAGAATTTGTCATGTTAAGTACGTACAGTGAGTTCTGGGATACCCTGTATATGTAAAGCTGAAAGTCGTGTAGCTCTCGATCTGGGGAATGGTAAGGCATACGCGACGCGGTGTGTACACCAACGTATTTGAACGAATGTGCGAGACAATTGTAAGAGTGGCTTTCCATGATCGTTTCGTCGAGAGAGAGAGGGGGAGAGAGAGAGAGAGAGAGAGAAAAGAGGCCCCCTGTCTGGCGAAGGAGCTGTAAAAAGCTATAAAATGATCTGCGAGCTGTAGTTAGCAATACGCATGTGCGAGACATAAGGTGACGAATAAACGAATCGGATCTTCGGACAGTTTTCCAACATCCCGTTGAACAACGTATAATAACTGAGAAACTCCATATAATCTCTCGAAAATGAATCTTATTATTAGTTAATAATTATACTGTTAGTTCGAAGATCTCATTCCTTTCATTTCGTATTACTGGCGACGGGGGGAGGAGGAAACTCGAGGTTCACGATCCTTCGTGATGTGCTACTTTGTCGATTGGTAATCGAGTAATCGCGGATGATTAATTTGCGAATCGCGAGATACGAGGGAAAAAATATCCGTATCGGAGTGACCGCGCATGTTCGGAGGATGGCAATAATGTTCGCGAGTTAAATTTCGTGTCGTCCGCATAATCGTCGGTACGGTGGATATTTTTTCGAAGGGAGAGAGAGAGGGATGCGCGTTGCAATCGCAGAGGAGATACGTCCACGCCGGGATTCGAGACAATTCTGACGCGAGTTTATTTGGTAGGACCGGAAGTGATACTTCCAGTTTCCATACGGTCCAGTTTCGTGAAAAAAATTTACTTTCTCATTTCGCAGTATTTGAATCGTAACTCGCGCGGCGATCTTTCTAGTTTTAATTATGCGTGTCCGAGGAAGTGTCGTCGTTCGTCCCGAGAGGTTAACGTCTGATGAGACACATTGCAACTTATTTATTTGTGATGGGGTTTGCGCGTATCTATCGTCCGATCGGGAATCCTCGGCAAATTCACGCTTGTGAGGGTGAAAAAAACCAAGAGAAACGAAACAAAATGTGATTTAAGTGATTATTCGTTACTTGATTGATTGATTGATTGATTAACGAGCCAACAAAGTCTGTCAGGCCGAGAGTGTGTATGACGAATTAGATAGTATAATTTAATTATTGTTATTGCAAGACCATATCATTACGGTTAAATCTTTAGGCGTTAATTGAAATATTATGTATAATCGTAGTACGTAATAACGGATGCTCCAATTTATCATATAACATCAGTTCGCGTACTTTTGCTGTAAAACTAGTATTTCGAATTAGCGAAAAGGTATTATTCGATTTCTTTATGAAAGAGTGAGAGAGAAGGAGGGAGGGGGAGGGGGAGGGGGAGAGAGAGAGAGAGAGAGAGAGAAAGCCATCTCTTATTGAAAGGTGGAAAATAAAAATAGAAGAAATGGGAAATCTTGCGTCTTTTCTTTTTTATCTCTTTTTTTATTTTTGGTAGAATATCCTGCGCATATTTTGCGCTATAATCATAACTATGCGTCCGAGCCACATCGATAATATATAGTTCCTGGCTATATTATTAGACGCACTTTAATTTTTTACGATTCATTGACTTCCGAGGACCAGCTTTATAATACAGCTCATCTAACGATCGAATTATGTCAAGGAACCGTTATTTTGTAAAAGTTAAGTTTTGAGTGTGTGTCGATTGAAATTTAGTTTTATTTCTGTTTATTTGTGACTTGAAACTTCAAATTCCTTGCATGCTAGAGCTAGAAAAATAAATTTTTGTGCGAAAAATACTAATATTGTTTGCAAAAATTATAGGTAAAAGAAGTGACTTGACACCTCAGAAGGTTGCAGAGGTAAAAGCGCTGATTGACACCGAAAATGATTCTAATCGAGCAAACATAAAATTAGTAACTTTCCCTCTCCTTTTAATCTGCATTCTATTAAAAAATCAAAGTGCATCTGATGATATGGCCAGAGACTGTACGAGGCCGACACAGAAATGTTCAAAACATAGTCGCTTTGATAAGAGCGTGTCCGGCGAAACTTTCACCTGTAAACGATAGGCAGGAAATTCTAACGGCAGCAAGCAGAGGAAACTTTCCTCTAAGATGCTTTGTAAAGAAAGTCTCAGTCATCGTTCGACTTTAACGATGGAAGGACATATTTCGCCGCATGAATGCCGCATACGCTTCACGATCCGAAAGGACCGAAAATGTCGCGCGAAGCGGCTGCTGAATGCGTGAGAAAATCTAAGACATACGTGAATAAATGAGTATAACTCTACTATTAGAGATAAAAAACGTCGATGATCTGTTAGAGCGCCGCACGGAAGACGACGAAGAACGAGGTTGATCTTACGGATGTTTGCGAACAATCCTTGTCTATTATTGCGTGACGGACAAGCGGCATTACGTCAAAAAAGATAAGTATACCATGTGACCCAATAAGAAAACGTCTACGTGCTCATGATGTGAAATATCGAAGCATAATAATAAGGAACTTCTACTGTCCGAAAAACATGTCGAGAAAAGAATTGCCTAGTCGCAAGAAAATTTGGATCGCGATTGAGACGTCATTTTTCTCGACGAGGTTTCCCTTTTGGGCACGTAGTTCCATCATTGGTACCTGGTATATCCACGCCAATAGAATCGTTCAGTACCGTTAAACATCCGGTAAAGGTGCATATTTAGGGGTGCTTCTCAAAGCACGGATTTGACACTACACATCTTTACAGACAAATGATAAAAATAATAAAAATTTAACGAGGAAGAATTTTATTACCATCTGCCCAAAAATACTTTAGAAGGAAAAACCAATATTTACAGAATATCACAGAATTTTTTGTTTCAGTGAAATAAAATATTGAATATATGATGAAACGATTTTTTTTTATTGAAAATCAAATATTACTTTTTTAAAATAATATTGTTTTTTCTGTCAAACAACATGGTTTACTCGAGGTGAGGAACAACACCTTTATTTAAAGAAAATGATATTTGATAATAAATTATATTGTTTATATTAACCCTTAGCTGACACACGTCAAAATAATAACGTACGTGCTATAGGGGGTATTTTGGATCCCAGCGAGAAAAAATGTGTATAATTGTTTTATTTATCAATATTGGGTCAAGCCTCGACTAATACTAGGTGACGCCACAGAACCAAATTTGGCGCGCAGCTATGAAAAATTTGCGTTCAAAAACACTCTGGGGTACTTTTAACCCCGTGTGTCAGCTAAGGGTTAAACAAACTCAAGTCAAACATATAGCTAAATGAAAAGAAACATTTTTCTCTGAATACGCACAACCAGCCCACTTTATTTGAAATATCCTGTATAACTCGACGATTCGTAATCTTAGCAGCGAGCGTATCAAAACGCATCTCGGCGGTTTTATGCCGATATGTACGTAACAATACAATTATTACGTAACGCGATAAAATGTATTCAGTGACGTAACGCGCGCTCAGGTAAACAAATGCCGAGTCTCCACGCGGATTAACGCGACCACTTCGCCGCAGTGTTTTGTAGACGGGATGAAAACGAGAAACTGTGGTCGACTCAGCCGTTACCTTTCTTCCTTGTTAACTTGCGTGTCATATTCCGGGAAAATTATTCGCGCGTAAGAAGTCGTACAGACGTGCACGGCTTGACAGTTGGCGAAGCGTTTATGCTGTCATAATAACTTGCGGATAAATTGAAAATCATACGCGACGGATTAGAAATAATAATAATAAAAAAAGGGAACTGTCGCCTATTTATAATTTTAACTTCTAAACCACTCTTAGTTCCGATAGAACACTTTTGTGATATTAAACATGAATGTACGGGCATATTGATAATAATAATACATCGTGTATCGTGCACTGAGAGAAAAAATATCTAGAAAATTAAAAAATATTTATCCGATAGATACTGATAAAATATTTATCTATACACATTAATAAAGTGCTAGATTCAAGTAGATAATTATTCCAATACTTCTTAGCACATTTTTACTCGGATTAAGTAAATTATATTACTTGGTTATAGAAAAAAGTGCTACATTCAACTGATATTTGCTTAATTCAAATAAAAATGTGCTAAGGAGTGATTATTTACCTAAATCCAGCACTTTTTTTCTGTACATGTATTAATACACATATTTTTCTACCGAAGTATATTTTTCAAATAAAAAAATATGGAAAAAAATTGTCTTAAAACACAGCATTTTATGAAAGTAATTGATTGTCTCATTTGATCGTGAGAATTTCGATTTAAGTAAATATGTTTTTAGTACCCACTAATAAATATTTTTATTTTTTCGGTACTTCTTCTCTTAGTGCGTATGCATCCAGACGTTTTTCGGCCCTTGTTCAGACTTCTCTGAAAACAAGAAGTAATCAAAAGTAATGAATGTGATTATCGCGCGACAAAGTAAACGAGATGAACTCGGCTCGAAGTCGTGAAACAGTCTAGGCGGGATTGAAATTCACGCTCCGATGTGATCCGGAGCGAAACACGGCCTCGGTACGATAGAGCACATGACATGAAGACGAGGAATAATGAATAACGCGAATGACATTTTTCCACCGAGATTGCAATACTACTATCTCCAGCCAAAGTCCTTCGTTGTAAACTATGTAAGCACAAACAAACATTGAACTGGGTCGTTTATGGTATACATCGGCGAATGTGCGAGATTACCGCACGTTCGTGTGCGAGAACACAAACTGGATATACTTCCACACAATGTATCTTTGTAATCGACGTGTGCAAGCTCGTGTGTACACACACACATACATACGTACGGAGCTGATGTATGCGATACCGATACATAGAAGGTACTCTAAGAAGATATCGCTAAGTGGCTGCCGATATACGGGACGGCAAATCAGTTTAAGACCACCTGCCCCAGAAGGTGGAACACTTTGTGCAGAGTAATCGTTTAACCGCGGTGATCGCGTAGATTTGATCATCCATCCGACGTTGGAGAAAGCTCGGGAAGGGCTTCGCACGACGATTGTCCCGAGGGAGAAATGGATCCGATCCGAAAAAAGAGAAAGAAGCCGCGCGACGAAAAGGTAATCAGTGCGCTTAAACTGGATCGAATCTTGTCGGAGATTAAATTAATAACTCGAGAGCGTGTGAAAATTCTGATATCTTAGTTGATAGTCTCGCTAAACGCGAGGAAACGCCTTCTTTTTCTTTGTGGAATTAGAATATATGTCGTTATATCTTATCTGAATTCGTTGTATATCTTATCTGACGTTCGTCGTTGCATTAATTTCGCAATATGCTTTTTCTTTGCGAGACGAATCGTCTCTTTAAAAACTTATTAATTGTCAATCGAGAAATTTAAAACGAAATGGCTTATAAAAGCCGGCACTAGCAAGCGATAACAAGTGATATCACCTGTACTGAGAGAAGGAATATCTGAGAAATAAAAAATATTTACCCGGAGCGGATACTAATGACATATTTATTTATAACAATAGTTTTTATTTATAACAATAGATATATTTCTTCACTGAGAACAAATTTTTTTTCAAATGAAAAAACCTACATATCTTCTTAAATCTATAGCTTTGCATGAGATTGCAATTGTTTGATCTGTTTAAATAAAAGAATTCAAAAATTTAAGTAAATATTAGTACGCAATGAAAGAAATATTTTTTTCATTTTTTAGGTATTTTTCCTTTCAATGTAGCATTGGCTTTTGTAGATATTTTCTTTTTTAACTTCTTAATTGGACATTTTGGGAATTTTTATTTATTTATTTAATTATTTAATTATTAATTATAGTATATGGGAATTAATTATATACTAAATTACAACATATGATATTATGATAGATTATAATAGCAACAATATATGTTGCGATGGACATAGCGTTGTCGTAAAGAATGTACGGAATATTGGAGGATTAAATTCATTTGGAATATGAAAACGCTCATCTTATCAAAGACATTCGTCAAGATAACAACCGAAGAAAATCGACAATCGGCATAAAGTCACTTTGGATACGCTTCAGCGAGCGTTACTGTTCGGGCCTTCGTTAACCTGAATCCCGGAGGAATCTTAAGAATCTCGTGGCGATTCTTCTAACGGAGCGCTTCAAGTACATCACTGACATCATCGACGGATATTTCACTTTTGTTTAAATATATTGCAGCAACGAGGAAAAATCTCATGTGTCTGATGAGACATCGGGGTTACCCCGAGGAAAATGCATTACAATGAAGAAAGGCTATATTCTCCTACGCCCGTAATTATATGAAGTTGTCGTCAAGAGTGAACCTTTACCGATCGACGATCGGATAACCGTGCAAAGTAATCGCGAGAAAAACCTGAGAAATTTTTTGCATTTGTTTACCAGGTATTACATATGTTTGGACATTGCAATTAAGATTATTCGTATGATTTTCAACATTAAACATAAAAATCCTAGTATACAAGTTTTAAGTTGTACATCACACTTAGTATTCATATATCCGTTTTATAAACACACGAGCCTTTAAAAAGCAGTTACTTTATACTCGAAGCCAAGACAATTTGCAGAAATGAAAATGCATGAAGTCACGTCACAATAGACAAAGGTTGAAAGTACTTCGCCGTTCTGTAACGTTTAAGATAATTGTTTCGTAACAATGTTATCGAGAAGTGTAGTCATATGACTAAGGAAAGGAAGATTTGAATAATTCAAATAAGATATATAACGATGATATATTCTAAAATGCATCGCCCTAAATATATTTTATCAATAAAAGAAATACGATGAGTATAATCCAACTATACTTCTAAAAATCGTGAGGGAGTGAATTTTCTTCCCTTTATTAGTGCAAACTTTCGGTTGAGCTCGTCTCTACTGTGCACTACTACACATATAAAGATTACTTATTCCGATACATGTCTATCAATGCTGTTTCTTCTTTTAAAAAGTGATTTTCACGTTAGATTGTTGTATTTCTTCTTTTGATTTCATATCTGAAATATTACTGTAATAATTTTACGGCTGTATTTTCAAGGCCCTATTAAGCGCCGTTATTTGAAATTTATCTCACGTGAGATGCTCAGATCTTAATTTAAAGTTGAATCCGAGTTTTTCCAGTTGATCAACATTAAATAATGATCAATATAAATATCATTATTAATATATGATATATGTAATATTATATTTGTAACCGCTATTTAACTTGCGAACTCACATCTAATTCTAAATTTAAATCTGAATATCTTAGATTTGCGACACATTTAAAGTATCACCTATTAATATGAATCTAACATAAGCAGAAAATATTTTGTACTTGTGTCAAAATTTTAGTCCTTGTTAAAATTTTTGTATTAAATTTCTAACACATTATGTTTATATTATCTCAACATTTTATATTTCAGTATCGAATAATGCATTAATTTTGTGTTAATTTTTAACCAAAAATTTGTGTTATTTTTCAACATATTCACCTTGTGTTAAATAAAAATAAAAATTTGAATGGATTGTAAGATGTGTTAAATTTAACGCAAAATTTATCGTGATCAATAATTCTGATCTTTATTCTTACAAATACATATGCCAAAATATTATTATTAGTTTTTAATATCGCAGTAGCTTATTAAAATGATTTAAATAGTAGTTTAGAAGATGATGTTAAAAATGGAACACATTGACGTCAATGTGGTACAGAAAAACGCGTGTTAAAATCGTCAAATTTGAAATGCAAATATTCCAATATTTGAACGGTCGATCTTCTTTTAATCACGCACATAGGTAATAGTTCAATCGTTGAGACAGTCCAAATTATAGTAAGTTCCTGAGAAATTCACTTCACGAGACGACTACCTTGACGCGTCAAGCCAGAACTAGCGCTCGTGCGCGGTGACATAATTCTTGCATAAACAGTTACTCGTTACAAATAACGCATCGCTGCACACGACGGAGTTAGCAGAAACGAAATGAACTGCCGATCTATGCGGCATGATTCATTTAATCATTAGATGTCAACGACTAAAGCATCAAGCGTACTTATTATACTTTTTAAAGAGTAAAATTATATTCCACGAGAATGATTCGCGCATTTCGATTGAACGAGATTGATTCGCTGTTATAACATGACCTGTCGTCCTAGTGGTATGTAAAAACTATGTGCACTGTACTACTGCGAATTCAAAGTCAGAAAGTGCAAATTGCCGCAATTATCAACGTAAGACGCGAATTTACCGAGGAGCCAATCGAGCCAATCGAGATATTGCTTTAGGTGTAATCATAATCTCTGGGCCGGTTGAAATCCTACAGCGAGAGAAAAAGCGGTTGGATCGATGAAATCGGCGATTACTCTACTTCGAAAAAAGATTACGTCCACTGGAGTAGCGATACATTGCGTTGACGTAATTACTGACCAAATCGCGACCGTTGAATCAATTAACTTATTATAGCAATTTGCTCAATAAACTAAACATTTAACAAATTTTTGTTCGTTTAAGCGAAGTTCCGTTGATTCTATCATTTTTTTTCCTCAGTATAGTTGCTGCTGCTCACAGTCAAATTTATCGTCGCTTTTATCTTCTTTTAGAAATACTTCAACCTGAAACAATAAACTGTTCGTTCTCCGACTTACGTTTATGACTTATGTTTACGGCAGTTACAACTTGCGTGCGCAAGTTATCACTAGTACTAAAGATAATGATTCAGACGAAAAGACCGGCTCGGATCGATTATGAACGTCTGACTTGCACGACATATNCGACTTTCGGCCGCTATCACGCTGGCGTGATGGTTTGACGATCAGGAAACATTGTTTTCAACTGTTTTCCTCTCCCAATTCAACAGACTGTCTATTATTAAAATCTTTTTTCGCGGACGCTTGTTTTGTCAGTTTGAGATTGTCTTTCGCTACCTTCAGATATAGGAAACTTACGTTAGATATCCCTCAAAATGCCAATACCAATATAATTGGAATAAAAATAGTGTAACAGTTATTTTAGTGCCTTCTTTAATAATAATTATATACCAACTACTTATGTATCGAAAAATTGCGTAAATATCACCGTTGGCGAGCAGTAGAACCTGCGTGAATCTCGCCGGCGGCAGCGTAACGGCGCTTCGATAAATGCGCGGCCCGCAAAGTGTTAACAAAAACTTGAAATTACTCAAGATTCCCGACATTTACAGAGAGAGATAGAGGGAGAGAGACAATGCTACACTCGCAAGAAATATTCCCCGCCTTTCCACACGGCCTCTCATAGAGTAAATTCAAGTTCTCGTTAAGCAATTATTCTCGCGGAAATCGGAGTTTCTCTTTCGCCCTTCCTTTTCTTCCCGCAAAAAAAAATGATCGCCGCCAGAATAATTTAATAATCGGGATTTGTCGATAGGGATCGCGGAATGTGTCGTTTTCCACGACAGTGTTCATCACAGTTGAGAGACCGCCGTATTTCGTCCGACACAGAGAGAGAGAGAGAGAGCGCGTCCACCGCGCGGATAAACTTTAACGAGACTTAATGAGCGCGCTCCCACACAGACGGTTCCAGCGATCGTCATCCTCCCGTTCCGCCCGTGCTGCTCATACCTCTCTCTGATCGGTCTCTCTGTTCTACGACGCAGAAAGTGCTGCTGTCCATCGTTGATCCTTGGGACGTAAGAGTGGCCAGTGTCGATCCGGTTGGACTGGCCGCACGGCGAGGCGTCTCCCTGTCCATCCTGTCGTCCTCGGTTCAGGACGAGGGTGGTGCCAATCAGGAATGGCCAAGCAGAACCGTCAAGATACCGTCACCGTGGTACAAGCCTAGCGCGTCCACCGGTCACGTCAGCTCGGCCAAATCCGAAGAGACCACGCTGATCGACACGAACCTGTTGCATCCTTGGTACGAGCCGCGAAGGTAGCCTTTTTTTCCCCTTTCCGTTAAGGAGACGCCAGTCGATGACGAACTTGATTAGCGTCGTTAACGTAGAGACGATCCTCAACACGTCATGTTACACTTGCAAACAGCATTCTTTGCCGTTGAAGAAACCTAGTGGTTTTAAATTGAGATTTTTCTGTCCGGTAAATATTTCCTAAAAATACATCCTGATATTCTCAACGTTACCAATTCAATACTTGTGTCAATTGTTTCAACACATATAAATAAATGTCTACTGATATAAAGAAAATATAAATTATATATGGTCAGCTATATTTCTACTAATCTAATAAATATTTGCCAAGGAATATTGGAGTGGCTATATTTTACTCGAATCGAATAAACATCACTTGATCGATAGCGCTTTCTTTCAACGTACTAATTTCATAGAGCCTCCGAACCAGGCCTGAGTGTTAATCAAATCGATTACAAGTGTAACGTCACGTCTGCAAATTTCACTTAAATACTCAGACCCGCGTGTCTCGCGTGAGAGAAGTTTCAACGACTGCTAACGTGTGTTCAACCGATGTAAATCGACCACGACGACGACAGTCACTCATACGAATAACTTCACGATCCCAGAACTCGCCGATACGTTTTGCAGATCGCCCGTTGCGACGCGCAAGTCGCCGAGTCCTGCCAGGGAGAGATCGCGGGACGGCGGGAAGCGTTCGAAGGAGAACAGCAAGACAGAGCGCGACGAGGCGGACGAGGTCGACGGTGGATTAATCAACGGCGCGCAGGAAATTAGACGCGACGATTTCGATGACGCGGACGGCACCGCGCGGGTGCGTTTCGAGATCGTCGGAGAGAAGCGGCCGAAGCGGAATGGAGTGCGATGTGAGAACGGGCAAGGTGTTAACGACGTCGCGTCGCGAGTGTTGACCGACAGCCCGAGCGGGAACGATAATCCGAAGTCTGAGCACGCATTGCCGGCAATCGCGAGGCGGAGTCGCGCAAACGGAGCGGACAAGCGGGACAGTTCGCGAGAAACGGACGATGTGCAGCGAGACAGTGATCCTCATCGAGTAGTCCAAGAGGAACCAACGGTCGTTAATATCGTTCAGCACTTGGTGGAATCCAGGTAATTATATCGGACGATACTAACTTCCGCTTTCGTTTCAAGCTGCGCGAAATAAAAAAGAGATAGGTAAAGTAAATAGGCGAAGAATGAAAGAACGAGAAAGAGAGAGAGAGAGAGAGAGAAAACTTCATTTATTATACGCACCGGGACTTGATTTTCTCAGGTGCTAAAGAGAAAAGTGGGGAGAGGGGAGTAGAAATAGGAAAAGAATAAAAAGAGAAGTGATGAAAAGTAAATTTAAAAGATTGATAAGAAATTGATGACAAGTAATGATTAAACGGGAAAAATAAATAGAAAGGAATGGATAAAATAAACTTGGAGTCGAACATTCGACTTTCGAAATTATATTAACTGAGGCACTTGGTCCCTCGCTGCAACTGTCTTTATTTGATAATCAAAAGCATATGCCAAGAATTCTTGCGTAATACGACTATTTATTGATTGCTTGGTTAAAAGAAACGCGTTCGGACAATTTTACAAGTGTGCCGAATCGACCACAAGTGCCATTTTATGGATATATCTTTTTTATTCGAAATAACGCAAGAGTTCCTAGTATTTTTTTCTAGTTCTAGTTTTCTCACTTCCGACGTCATCGAATAAGGTCGTTTGCGGCGAGAGATTAGGATTAGCTTCAAGTATGTTTTTATATATATTATTTGATAGACATACTTTTTAATTCAGTTGTGCGATAAAAGTAAGAGAATCTCTTCGTAGAATAAATTTTATCCCACTTCGCAGAACGTCGCAATGTGTTTTTTTGCCTTTCTTTTCAAGATATAATCCAGAAACCGCGGCGGACAGAAGATTAAAAAGGATGCCATCATGTCGTCGACAAGAAGCGCCGAGAGAAATAGATCCAGTAGGTAAGACGCCGGGTGTTTTCGTATGAACAATGTCACGTGGGACAGGTCGGCGATATAGGCTCATTTGACGGGAGTCACGTCGGAATTAAAGCGAGATCTCCTGGTAATTTGGGCTTGTTGGGGTTGTTCAAGATCAGCCAATTTGCCAACCACAATACAGGATCGGTCGGTTTAGACTTGCAACACTGCAAAGCGGAATTCGTTCAATCGCGTCATCAGGAATAAGCGAAAGAATTGAACGAATCAAGATATCGCGTGGTAAATTTCCGAAGGAAAAGATCACTTTTACCAAGATTAAAGCTTCAACGAGAACCGGATTAACGGCTTCCCACAAGAAATCCTCAGCCTTCTCCTCCCTCAGCAAGGGTTCAACTATGACTGAGAAGAAATTTCCGTTTCAAATGACTATTTGAGGGAGTAATATCGAGCACTAGATAGAGTGCAATGCAAGCAGCAGAAAGTAATCCTTACAGTTGGGGAAGAAAAAATGTATTTCTCTCTCGGCTTGTTCGCAACTGTCGCTGCCGTGCACGACGTTCTTGATAGTTTCCCCTCTCTGACCGTACCTCGCTCTGATACTATCGGGAAAGTACAAGATTGCTTCGGTCACCTGAAAACCAATTTTTATGTGGAAGTTCTTTCGAAAAGAAGACACTGAGGGTGATCGAAGAATCGAAAAATATTTATGAAATGTTCGACGATAAAATACGTGTTGTATATATTCGGTATCATAAATCGACATCACACTGAAATCTCGCTGAAAGGATTTAGTTGATAGTAGCCGATAGAATACTGCAGATTTTCTAGTGAAATCTTATTGTCACTAGCCAAAATTAATGAAACGTAAGACCAAAGTAGAAGCTAAGTGGCAATGTTTTCATTGCAAATCGATTAGTAATCACTGATATCGCGGTGAAATACGTTTCATTGATTTGACCGAAAACATCATTACCGATCGCTCTGCTTTCTAAATTTCTCGGGATAGGATGAAATTTAGTCTTATTTTTATTTATTTGCGAGTCGAAACTTCAAGTTCCTTGCTTCCTGACAGAAAAATACATTTTTCTGTGAAAAATATTAATATCGTTTACGAAAATTATAGGTGTAAGGAGTAATTTCACAGCTCGGAAGGTTGCGGAGGTAAAAGCGTTTCGATTGACGTCGAAAATTATTCTAATCCGGTAAACCTAAAATTAGTATCTTTTCTTCTCCTCCTGACCTGCATTCTATTAAAGAATCAAAGTGCGTCTAATAATACTGCCAGGGATTTCCCGCTCCTGACGTCACTAAACAAGGACAGTCATAGCTACTACTCGGGAGCCTTGATTCCTCGTTCCTTACTCTTTCCATTTATCCGAGCCCTAAGAAAATACGGCAGACATGACGCGGTACGTACCGTACTTGGTCCTATGATCAGCTTCCACTCCTCGACGGCGTTCAGCTTTGCCAACACGAACACCACGATAGGTCCTGACGACATATACGCCACCAGAGACGGGAAACACTTCTCACCGAAGGGATCGTTGTAAAATTCCGAGACCTGTTCAGGCGTGAGCTGCAGCCAGCGTGTCTGACAGATCTCGAATCCCTCTGTGCATATAATATGCTCGATTCGCTTCCTGTAGACCACCGCTTCCGGCTTCACGATGGCCAAAGTGTACTCGATGTCCTGTTTTTCCTCGGTGCTGCCGTCGGTCTCGCAGAAGCAGATTACCGCCGACGATTTCGAGCGATCATCTTCCGCCTCGCCGGCGTAATCGCATTCCGTCGGGCAGGCGGATCTGTACTGCGAGATTATCGGTGCAATTGTTACGCTCGCGGCAAAGTGTCGCTCGTCGACGTGCATACCGTTCTGCTTGACTCGCTGGAGGATCCCCTGCTCGCGGACGACTTCGTCGTAGAATCGTCGCTCGTGGTGCCGTTGCTGCTGTCGGCTCGCACGGCGTGAATCAACGTCCAGCCGGTGTCATTGTCGTCGTCGGCGAGCTCGTCTTTCATAGGACAACACGGTGTCGGGCATTTCGAGAAGATCGTCACGGTTTCCAGATCAAACTTCCCGACGATTTCGTCGTCTCGCTCTTGCGGGCACTCGCACATCTTTCCTTCGTACAAAATTGCTCGTTCCTCGAAATTACTTTGGTTTCTTTCTTTTCTCTCTCGAATGTATCAGTCGGCGCGAGAAAAACGCACGAAGATCGGAGGTTTCGTCGGATTTTCTCTTTCATTCATGTCGCATGCGTCGAGGTTAGAGTTATATCGGACTTTGATGTTTGTTTGTTTTATTGTGCGATAGAAAAAGAAGAAATCAGCAAGCTTCCGTTCTTCTCCGTGTGCGGCGACGATCATTTCTCTTTTCATATTTTTCCTACTCCTATTGTGTGGTAAAGAAAAAAAAGAAAAAAACTAGGAAACTCCCGCCTTTTCTCCGCGAGCTCAACACGTCCATTCCATCTGCGGCAACAACCATTTTTCTTTCTATATTTGTTCTATTGTGCGATAAAAAGAAAACCTAGAAAACTTCCACCTTTTCTACGCGATTCCAACAAATTCGTTCCATGTGCGGCAGAGATCATTTTTCTTTCTATATCCACGCGAGAAACTAAGTTTGTTTTGTACACAATTAAATCGAAATAAATATAATATGATCCGTAGGAAGTTCCCTCCTCAAATAAATACGGCGGTAACGAACGTGTTGAATTATTTGCGTGTCCGAAAATTATGGCGATTATCAGCTTCGGTGATCTTTTTGATCTCCGATCGCACCGCCGCTCCTGTTATCTCAATATTCTATTGCGAAGGTTTGCACTGCAAAAGATAAGTTCAGCATAAAGAAACTCGTGGTACTTGCTTACGTATGCGATTAAACATGCGCACACGTTACACGTCGCGGTTTAAGCCGGCGGCGCACGACGCTTGTTTTCGTGCTGGACCGCTTGCTGGACTGAAATACTGCGTTCTGGCTGGTGTATTTCCAAAAATGAATGACAATGCGCCAATAAAAACGCAGTATTTCCATCCGGCGAACAATCCAGCGGAAACACAAGCATCGTGTGCCGCCGGCTTTAGATAAAACACGACGCGGAATACCGCGCGAATGCGTGTTTGAACGCCTGTAATTTTTATCCGATTATTCCCGCCGGTTGGTTTTCAGATATTTCGAGCGAGCTGAACGATAATGCGGACGAGGTTGTTAACATAGTCAAACAAGAGAGTCGTCAAGAAGCCACCGACGAGACGAAGACGCCGCCGAAAGCGGCGGAACTACGAGCCACGAGAATAAGGAAGACCAGCATCTCGATGCCCAGCAAACTCGACGAGATGGACGTGCTTCGAATAGACAGACAGAACGTAAGTCCGACTCGTCGACGTGAATAAAAACCAATATAAATAATATAAATAAGAATAAGACGCGCGGAATGAACTCAGTTCCTGCGATAAATAGAGTGCAGATAGAAAGTCAGCGACGAGAAATAATAGCTCTGTTGTCGCGACCGAGAATATTCGTGTGGATGTTCAGCAGCATTAAAATTCGGTTGAGAGCAACTGAGCTCGGATTGAAATTCTAATGTCGCTTTGACGCTCTTAGAAAGATAGCTTGCGCCTACTTAGATGGCTTTGTAGACTAGTGGGATCTCCCCTTGACGATGCTCCACTAGTTAACTTCTCTCTTAAATTTCTCTTAAACTTTTCTTTGAATTCTACAGCTATTTTGAAACTACGATTGTTCTCCATATTTCTATCGCCAAATTCACAGGTAAGTGTTCAAAACAATCTATTTTGATGTTAAAAACGGTGAAAAAAATGGAAATTTAATACATTATCAAAGTAGGAGAAAATTATGTTATTAAAATTGAACCTACCTATTTTTTGCTATCTTAGCTCCTACTGTAAAATTCAAAGTTTGTGGTAAAGCTAAAATGTCGACTCGGAAATAGGAATTTCCTACAGTAATTTTTCTCTTCCTATAAACCGAGTTTTCGTCTGTTCCCCGGGCAACGGAAAATTCAGTTACACCAACAAAACTGTTTTTCCCACGCGCAAGACGACAGGACGCTTGTATCGAGCATCGCTGCACGGCAAAATTAGCGTCGCTCTAACAATTTTAGAACGAAGGTCCAAAAACGCTTAACACGTTCGAGTGACTTTTCGATCTGAAGAGAGAGAAAGAGAGGAAGAGACACTCTTTGCCTGACACCGTCTGAAACTTTCCGTTTATTAAGTTTGCTGTTTGATACACGTGGCATATACACGGACGTCACCGATAAGAGTTGCATTTCTGGGTGTTTGAAGACGCGTGGCGGCCGACATTGTCGTGTCCGGACTATTCGAGGTATGAATTTTTCGTGGCGGTAATGCGATCGTAAAGATGGACATGATTTACGAGGTTGATCGGCGAGTTGTTTCATTGCACAGATGCTGGCGCGACTTGCGCCCGCTTGATTTCATATCCAGGTGAATCCTTGTTTCAGGGGACCGCCTCGAAATTCACGAGAGCGGAAAGTGACAGCAGCAGCAGCGTGACTTTCAGCAACAGCGGTTCGACGCCAAACGGAAGCCCTCTCCTGGGCTCTGAAACGGAAGAGGAAGCGAACGACGAGGAATTGGTCAAGTAAGTGTCAGATTAAGAAACTTGATTAAAATGAGAAAAGTCCGGATTTTAGCCGAATAATCAGCGACTTAAAGTCAAGTCGCGATGTCTCGCACGCATCTATAGCTCAGATTGCTGCGATTTAATTACGTAATACAAACTCACATACCACATACTCTTGTTACATTTATGATGTAATGACGCCAAGATTGATAATAATGTGAGAGTAACAATCAAATTTACATACTTTATGCATTTGCATTTAATTCAAATTTTATATTTTAATTGAAAAATCTCGTCATTTATTTTTATAATTTAAAATGTTTCAGTTAACCTAATGAAAATTTATTATTTGTTACCTGTAATCATCGATAAAGTTAACAAATTCTCACATCTGTTTTGTTATCGATTAATAAAATAACTATTCATTTTACAAAAATATAAATTTATAAAAGTAAATACTTGAATAGTGTAGCAAAAATTTCCAGATATAAGAAACATTTTTATTCCATTTTCATTTCTTCCTGTGCATTGAATATTATCACTTTGTATTGAGAAAGTTTAGTTATACTCCCATTGAAGAATTAAAACGACAAAAGTACCCAGACAAGACTTATGAACGTGTCCAAGCACTGACATTTTTACCTTGCGACGGTACAACATATCTTATGAGTTCTGCTGCGTTTGACGTCGCGACGATAATCCGCTTAACCCGTTCGACCGCTTTGAGTTGGCAAACCCATGAATATCGAATATGGGATTTGAGAGACACTTCCTGCAAGAAAGGAATCTACTTCTCTCGATTTCTTCCGATCCCATTCCACAACGTGTCCTCATTCTCGTGACTAGGAATTACGATTCGAGCCGACGAATCGGACGCACCTATCCGACCTTGCGGCCGCCGTATCACCGTCAACAGAGAGATACGACCTCTCTATATCGCCTCAGGGTTATCGCGTCGTGCACTACGACTCACGTCCATTTCGGACAACAGTACTCCGTTCGATGCAGCTTTCACGCTGTTTCTTTTACTCATGACAGCGCGCACAGTTGATCTCCAATTTCCCCGCTATTCTCGTTTTATTCTTCGCGTGTGAGACATGCGAGTTCTCGTCGTCATCGCGTCTAAGAAGATATACGTGTCTGCGGTAGCACTTGTGTCTTATGTCGGAATACGAATAGTTGAAGGTTAAAAAGCACAAATTCAAGATCGAAGGTTCTCGATCTCGCCAAGATGATGCCCAGATACGATGTCGGTAGCGCCGTGTCGTTGCAGAGGTACGGCTTTTCGGCGGGAATCTGGAATAACATCTTTCTGGATGTAACAAATATTATTGAAGAGCTTGCAAAAGTAGTTCGCGCATCGTCGACGAACTTGATCGGCTCAAAAGACGAGCCGTTCCACAGAAATGTAATTAGAAGAAGTGTCAAAAAGTGGTCGTTTACTATAGCAAATATTTTTGATACGGAATATGGTATTTACCTTTCACATTTCCTGGAAAGTGAAATCTTACCCGAAAACGAGCAAAGATTTATTCAAAGCGATAGTAAAAATGTTGTCATTTGGACACACGGGAACAAATATTTCACTTAAATTTAGAGTAGATTTCTAATTCGTGCGAACGAATGTTTCAATCGATTAGTTTGAAAATTGGTTTCAGTAAAGCGCGTTAGATTCATCCTTCAGTTTCGAGTGAAAATATTCGCTCGGCGATTCATGGCAAAAGAAGTCATTTTATACGCATAAAAAGTCATTCAACTTAGAGTGACTCGACTCCACCTTTCGAATAAAATCCCGCTGAAAGAAATTGGAGAGTGCCGTTTCGTTCTTATTAAAAAAAAAAAAAGAAATACGGCGAAAAATCCGAATTTATCAAGCTGCCATATTATTAAATATTTAAGGCGCTGTTAGTTGATTTACATACGACTGTGCATATATTTACAGTTAGCAATTTGCAATTTGATTATACAGTTGATAATTGCATTGAAAATCTCTCTCAGAATCCCATTGCAAGCTCCACCGCGAAGGAAGGGCAGAGCCGTGTCGCCGTCGGTGAACGAGAAAATGGGAAATGATCCTATGGAGCTCTCGGGCGTGCAGAGCGCGAACTCCACGATAACCAGCGTGAACAGCATAAGCAGTCTTTTAAAGGAGAAACTGCAGCTGTCGCTACCACAGGCGTTGCGAAGCAGCAAAAGGCGTCAGAATGCAGATTACAGGTATACTTTCTCTCACCTTGAAATGTCGCAGTGAACGTTGAAGTAAGTTTACCTCCAAAATGATGAGAAAAACTAATTTCTCCCTCCGCAGGCTCAAAGCGTTCGTTGGCTTCCTCTTCCTCTGCGTCGTCTTCCTCGTGAGTTTCGCGCACATTTACTATACTCAGCACGTTCTGCAACGAGCTTACTTCCATCATTTTAGGTGAGTATCTCGTATTGCGGAGAATACTTATCGAGCTTATCGATCTTCAAAGTTACATGTTACATTAAAGGGTTATTTCTCTTTAAACAACGAATTTTTAGGCGAATTTTAACACTTTTTTTCTGTGCTTTTCTGTATTTTTCATGTTTTTTGTAAATTACAGATTTTTAAGGTTATTTAACGATCCTATCTTTAAAAAGTTGCCTAATCAGAAGACACAAAGGGAAATATTTACGTATAATATTGTACTCGAACAGCCTCGAACGAATTATATCGAATCACGATAAATTTGTTAGCTCACGGCGTTGCATCGCTTGCCTACACTGTCGAATAACTTTCGGTCGTTTGCCTCTGCCAGGAAGCGCCTAATAGGATGCATTAAGGTTCATTTATCATACCGTGATCTCACTGTCAGTTTTAAAATGCGTATTCAATTGTTAGCCCGACGCGCGTATGCTTGACTTTTTATGGGCCACGGGCATCGTGGGAGAAAAATTTCAACAATTACAATCAGACAATGCAGCATGCGGTGTGGCTAATTATTCCTCATCACCACGATAACGCTTCGTTCTATGCTCCCGCGTAGAACATTTCTTGGGAACTAATTGGGATCCCAAGAATCCGATTTCCCAAAATAATTATATAGATTTGAGTTTGGGAAGTCTACGTAGATTCTCTCGTTGGAAATGTAATGTTTCAAACCTATGATTCTATTAGACGTATTAATTAATTCGGTGCTTGTGCGTTACAAAAGTAAACGAAATATTCTATCGAAATCTCAAACTGAATGCATTTAGTAAGTACCACCAGTCCTTTTTTCTCAGTATAGTACAATTCGGCTGGAACTCGATTATTGATCCCGTCGATTCCCCTCTCCGCTTAGGTTTAACAAGAACGAGAGGGTGATGAGAGTTTACAACAACAACAGCGCGGAGATCGTCGCCGCCAAGGTCGGCGAGGGCATACCGCCGGACACGGGGGTGTATCCTTGCCTGCCGCATCATCAGAAGCAGGACTCGGTCTGCCTGGAGTGGCTGCAGCAGACGCGCCTGTATCTGGCGTACACGAATCGCGAGGACATGCACTGCTACCACGTGACCTGGCAGAGCCTGAATCCGCATTACAATCCCAAGGACTGCTTCGACTGGTCGTCGAAGCGCGGCCATTGGTACGGCGCCGGCCAGATCCAGAACATGGCGTACCCGCTGGAACGCGGCCGCCTGGAGCTCAGTCCCTTCGTCACCGGTGACGTGAGGAAGCATCCGTTCGGCAATGTGCTGAAGAGATACTTCCTCAACTCGAAGGGCGCCACGATCCTGGTGGACCCCGAGACGCCGCTCTACGTCTCCATAAACGCCAATCGCACCAGCGACTTCTGCCTGCAGGCCAAGCACGACGCGTTCGCTTACATCAACCACCTGACGCCGCTGCCTCAGCTCAACTACACTATCTGCGCCACCGACAACATGAAGAGCCTGCACTCTTCGATGGCGGAGAAGTCCTTGTGGGACGGCCTGAAGCCCGACGAGCTGCACGCTGTCCACTCCTTGCTGTCCGAGCCGGTCTGGCAGATCTCGCCCATCAACGAGGCGGCCATTTACAATTACACGGAGGACGTGATCGCCTTGGGATTCCTACGCCAAGGACACGTCCTGCTCAGCGAGGAGTGGCAGCCCAGCCCGGGGGACTTTATACTGGACGAGGAGAGATTCCCGTCCATGGAAGAGACCATCAATATCATTCATCGCAGGGGATTCAGGATAGTCTTCAGCATCCAGCCATTTATCTCCACGGAGTCCGTAAACTTCAAAGACGCTGTCGCCAATAGATTACTGATCTCCGAGAGGGGCAGCGATCCGAGAATCCCGGCATTGACCAGGTTGATATTAACGCTATATCGAGTGTTCTACACACAAGAGGGTGTTATCGAAAGATATGTCAAAACCTTGCAGGTTCCCAATATCCGCTAAATTGAATAAAGAAAGGATCTCGATCCTTTCATGATCAATTTTTTGCACTATACAAACAAAATATTGCGATAGATTGGAAAATTATTCGATCATTTGATTATTTTAATGGTTGGCGGAAAGCCATAAAATTTCCGAATCCTATCTTTTACACGAGAAATACCCAGCCGCCCAACACGAGTTTATCGCTATGTTCGCTAATACGTCGCGTTTAATTGCAGATACAAGCAGAGCAACAGTGCCGGCGTGCTCGACATCACGAACAACAAGACCCTGCCGTGGTTGCAGACGAAGCTCGAGAGCCTGATCATGAAGTACCACGTGGACTCGTTCTACCTCGACCTGGGCACAGCCCAAGACATGCCGCACTACTACAAGTGCGAGCAGCCGCTGACCAACCCCGATCACTACAAGACCATCTTCACTCGCTCGATACTGGGTACGATCCCCGTGATCGGCGTCTCGAGTGCCATTTCCAGACCGCGAGCGCCCGTCTTCGTGTCCCTGCCTCCGTTCCCCTCCTCGTGGAAGGCCATCAAGACCGTAATACCTACGGTCCTGAGCTACGGCATGATCGGTTTCCCCTTCATCATGCCTGGAGCGGTCGGCGGTGACGTGGCACTGCCGATGTCGGACAACAACCCCGACAACGACTTCGAGGTGAATCTACCGGACAAGGAGCTCTACATCCGGTGGCTGCAGCTATCCACCTTCCTACCCGTGATCCGTTTCACTCACCTGCCGAGCAAATACTCGGACGAGTCGGTCTTGGAGATCGCCAAGCGACTGACCACTCTGAGACAGAAGACGGTGACACCGTTGCTGAAGAAGTACGCGAACGAGACATTGGACACCGGCCTGCCTATCATCCGGCCGCTCTGGATGCTGGACCCAGCGGATCCAGCCTGCCACGTGGTGGTCGACGAGTTCTCCGTCGGCGAGGAGCTGATCGTCGCACCGGTGCTTTATTCCGGCAGCCGGCAGAGGGAGGTCTACCTGCCGGCGGGTGTATGGAGGGACGGGATCGACGGCAGCTTGAGGAAAGGCTCCAGGTGGATTCACAATTACCGTGTAGCGGAGGACAAGGTGGCCTACTTTGTTAAGATGCCGGACAACACGAGATTCTGAAGGACACACTGCCCGCTTCCAGCAGAAAGCGAAGCATCCTGAAATCGTCCTACGAACGTCCTTTATACGTGCACAGGATGTCTTAAGATACTCCTCGGGGCATCCCGGACATCACACTCCGAATGATTTGGGGATCGTCTCGTGCCACCTGTGGTTGTGGCGGCTTTGTTGAGGAATCGCGAATCATTTCAACTATTTTCGATTGTGTGTGTACACGGAAATGGCTCTTTTTTGTGCGCGTACTCCCTCCGCTTTTTTTTCAGCGGGACCACATGATCTATGCGTCATTACTGAGCTTTGGTCACGCTATGAACGTTTATTGATATACGCTGAGTGACTTATTCTTCGTCACGGTCCGCAGGATTCGGTCACGGTCCGATAGGATCGTTTCTCGGTGAGCTTGAAAATGACAAAACGATCATGCAGTGACAGATTTGAAATAGTAATATATTTTGCACGTGCGATATATTTCATATATGCGAGTAGTGCGAAGAATGTTATTTGCTCTCGAAATTTCTTGGGGTGAAATTTCATTCGAAATAAGTGAAAAGTGGCATTGTTATTACTCGAAACGATAAAAACACTGCCACGGATAACACTACGGGATAGGAATTTTGACCACATTTGCCGTAGATTATCATTATAAAGTTTAGACGGATAATAATTTACCATAGTCAATTTTAATCGTTGATAATTTAAAAATTATTGTAACCTCATCGTTCTCATTGAAAGTTCTCCGTAAAACGTACATCTATACGTTAGTACAGATCATTATCATCCTATACAGTTCTCGAGTAATTGGGAGATGCGAATAAGAGCCGGTGCTGGTGATTAGTTGCGAAATTAAAAAAATTATTTAATTTATCAAGTCGATGAATCTAATGTTTCCAAACGTATCGGTCGTGGTTTTCGTCGAGGAAAGTCGAAACTTGCAACTGAAACATTTGAACATTAAACTCATCGACTTAAAGAGTCAAATAATTTTTTCCATCCCGCAATCAATTACCAGCGCCCGGCTTTTATTGATCTCTTCCAATTACTTTCGTCTGAAAATATTACTCGACGATTCAGAGCGGAGAATTTGTTCTAAATGAGTAAAGAATCGCTCAAATTTGAGTGATTCAATGGGCTGTGCTTTTCGAGTGAGATTTCATTCTGAGAAACGTAGAGAGTGCGAAATATCGAGAAATTCCGGTGAGAATTCACGGAAAATCACATTGTTGTGTTTTTCATGTAAACGCTACAATCGATTGCGTCAGATCGGTGTGTATCGCGAACGCGTGTGTAGTGCTGACACATATTGAAAGAAAAAAAAAACCAAACATGTAGATTAATTTTAAGCCAACAATGAGATATCTTGCTTTATCCAACGATACTGTTTCACCATATATATATATATATATATATCTATCTATTACCAATTTGTCAATAATTTATTAGCGAGAGAATCTGCGAGAGATTCAGCGATATGAATTGAAAATAAAAAAAGAAGTCAATATATCATGTCCTCGCGAGGAATGCACCTATATGCAATCTTGCAGGGCACATGGTCTATTTATTTTCATTACAAACTTACATGACATGTGTAAAATAATCGAATGCGTAAGCATGCAGAAAGCAGGAGATCGAAACCGGCACCCGATTTCGTTTTCCGGCGTGCGGAGCTTGGTTTCCCGCGAGACACGAGAAGAGAAATGTACACCTCAGCGCGCCGATTACGGGAACGTAAGTTTCTTCCTTCGTTGTCCGATAAATCAAAAGATCAGAATCAACGACGTACGACGACGTCGCACCGGTTTCGATCCTTGTGCAAAACATCCCGGACGAAGGCTGGATGACATCTACGGTCGATCGACGAGGAGAGAATCAAGACGCGTGGAGGCACACAGATGAGAGATTTTCTCTAAGGTATAGTGTATATTTATTATATTATCATTTTTATCATATAGCATAACATTGTTATTTCTATAATAATAATAATCATAGCACCATGAACACTCCACAGTAAGTTTTTTCTTTTTTTTTCTTTTTTTAATTCGTTATTCGAAAAAACGCGACGCGCCGATGCGCTGCGACGGGTGAGAACCGCGATCGTGTTATAATTGTAAGGGAACCCGGGCACCACCGAGACCTCCGAGCGTGCTCCGGGAGAACGTCCGGAAGAACGTCACGGGTTTTCGTCCCGAACCTCTTCCCTGGACGTTCCCTCCGAGGTCCTCCAGACGATATCCGTGTCGACCGGGTACGCGCAGTCTCGCCGTTACACTCGTTTGCGCAACAACGAAACTCTCTCAATCGAATGTGACTAGATGACTCTGTTATTTTTTTTTCCTCCTTTTCTTTTGCATTTTTCTCCCTTACGCTAGGAAACGAGTCGTTCTTTCTATCTTTCTTTTTTCTCCTTTTTTTTGCTTGACTAGAGCTTCGCGAGTGTCCGAGAAGATTTCGCGACGGAGGAAAAACGCTCTTTTGATTTTGCTGATTCAGGCGACCCCGGGAGGGGCTCGCACGTAACGAAAGGTGTGTGTGTGTGTGTATGTGTGTGTGTGTGAGAGCAAATTGGAAGGGGAACGAAATTCACCGCACCTCGCTTTCCTCCGTTGTCCGGCACGATCAATATATAATTCGCGTAATTATTATAATATCTTGATTGTTCTCTTGGTCGGAGAAATCTCACCAATATCACCGTTCTCACACCCGTCGAGCACCGCGATTTGGGGGTTCGTACAGGTGTTGAGGCTCACGTATTTCACATTTCTCTCTCTCTCTCTCTCTCCCTCTCTCTCGCTCGCTCGCTTTTATATCTCTCTCTTTATATATATCTCTTTCTCTCTCCCTCTCACACACTTTCTTACTCCATTCCTTACGTACTTCGTTCATATATTATATAGATATCTATATATATAATATATATATATATTTATATATATATATATACTTTTTCTTCCCTTCATAGTTCCCGCTAATCTGTTTCAGTGAAAGCTCGTTCCTAATCTTTTATTTGTTTTTTTTTTGTTATTTTTATACCTTTTATTTAAATTACTTCCATAAATTCATCGTTTATTTAGTCTATCCTGCGCGCATCATCATCGATCGACAATAGCTTCATTTAATAGTTTATTAATTTATTTTTGTTTTCGTTAAATTGAATTTCATAATTTTAACATCCTACCTAGATAACTGGTCATTATATTACTTGTCAATAAATAATACATAAATACATAGGTACATAGTTCATCATCATCTCCTCTCTTTCTCTCTCCACCTCTCGCCGCTTCTTCCCCTCTCTTGCTCCCCACTCATTTCTGTTTTTTTCTTAGATCTCAATCTCTGTTACACAAACCAACCAACTCGCTACCGTACATATCGTAAGAAGTATCGGTAAGCGTTATAAAAACTTCCTTACTTTCGTATTCGATAGAAAGAGAACGACGATGATGATGATAATGACCCGCTCTCGCGAACGTAATCGTAATATGTAATAATATTAATAGTAGTCGCAATAATAATAATATACTGTAGCAATAATAACAAGCACAATAGTTGTTAAAAGTAATCGGCATAGTTAATAATCGTATTTATAACAATATCGATCGTTTATGTCTCTCTTTCTCGATGTCGCTTAAGTCTCCGCTCTCACGTTTTCTCCCACATCAGTTAATCCTTCTCTCTCTCTCTCTCTTTCGCACGCTCTTCCTCCTCCTCTCTTTCGCCGGTCAGCGAAATAAGATCTTGATCGCGCATATGACTTCGCCGGAAAAACCAAAAGGAAACGCGATCTCAGTCTCTCGCGAGAATTTCTCAACTAAACCGATTCTCATCGAATAACGCCGATTTCCTATATAGCGTGGTGGTCTATATCACGCTTGTGGGACGGGGGAGGTAAATAAATGCAACGCAGTGACCGCGAACGAACGAATGAGTAATAAATAATCGAATGAATAATGACGAATGAAAACGCGTGCACATAGGAGACGATGCATGTATGCATGTGTGTGTGTGTGTGTGTGTGTGTATTTATGTGTTCTACGTGTGCCATTTTCTCTACACGCCTTGTATATCAATCGCGTGGTCTACGCGCGCGCATGGGGGATGGAAAGGGGGGTAGGAGGGGGTGGGGGGAACCAATCCCGCGATATCGGACGAACAAAATCGTGTGACTTACGGGCGGTAAAAAACTTACGCACTAATCTATAGAAAAACCGGACCCGAAGGCTACTAATCGCGTGTCGATTGCAGCGACCAGACAAATCGCTTCGTCATCACTCTCATTCTCATTCTCTCTGACTCTCTCCATCTCCCTTTCTCCTGATCGCTCGCTCGGATATCAGCGGTACCACCTGGGTATCATCAACGATCGGTCTAATCGAGCACCATTTTCGTGTAGGCACGAATGTGTCTCGTATAGAGGAGAACTTTCCGCCGATTTTCATTCGACGAGATCCACTTGCGAGACAACGCGACCTGTGAAGGACGACGGTGTGACATTTTCACGTTTGTTTTCCTCGTCTTTTCGGGTACGTCACTTATGTGCGCAAGGAGCTCATTCCGCGACCCTCGTATCGCTCGAACAGCCCTTACTACGAGTGACGACGGAATAGATCAATCAATCGTTCTTTCGGTTTCCTCTTTTCTCATTACGAGACATCGAGTAATTTTGTCCGTGGATCTCGCGGGAATGACGAGCAAAGATGTCCTCTATAAGTTACAGTTTCGGTATATCGCGCTTAATCGCACTTGTTTCTTGTAATCATTCGTTATTGATTTCTCTCGCCGGCTACGTGTTCTCCCTCGCGATTCTAAGTGACGATCGATCTTTCCGCGCGCGCGCCCGCTCTCGAATCGTCGCCGGGGCGACTGTAAAACGCACAGGACTCGAGCCCGAATCCTGCGGCTCCGGCTCGAATTCGAGAGCGCGACAGTCGCGATCCGAGGCTGGTAGGCGCACAGGATCGGCAGACGGGCTGCTTAAGGTACAACTACGCGAACGTTTAGAATCGATACTTGGTACAACCTGGTCTCTCTTTCTCTCTCTCTCTCTTCCTCGTAGGAGAGAAACAACGGGGAATAGGACTAATCTAAGCAACACAAGACCCGCCCGACAACAGTCGCGAGGACGTCGTGAGAAGCGGGCGAGGTCGCAGGGAAGACGCAAAGGGGATCCTCCATCCGCCCCTTTCCACATATCTTCTGGATGCGCTCGGACTCTCCCAGGCGGAACAAATGTCTAAGAGATGCCTCAAAGGCATCTAAAAAAGGCGTTCTATTTTTTTAGATGTCTTTCAGACATCTTTAAAAGATCCTCCAGAAATTTGTCACACGTGGGCTTGTGCTGCTCAGGCGGGATTCAACGCACCCTGTCACCGACGTCTTCACGAAGACTCGTTCGCGTGGACTACTTCCGCGCCGAAGGGTGAAGCGGTTCCCGTGGTGAGGTGAAAAATAGATGGGGAGGCGGGCAGGCCTGTGGTCGGCTCGTGAAAATGATGATGATGATGATGATGTTTCCCGATGGGTGACGGTCTCGAATAAGCGCGATTCGTTCGATACGTTCTCTCCCTTCGACTTATCGCTCTCGTCTTTATCGGCGTTCATATGTCGTCATCGTGGTCCGTACTCATTATTACCAGCGGCACTACCAACCAACATCACCATCACCATCGTCTCGCCAACGCTCCTGTCGCGTTGTCTGCGGCCTTACGATAAAACGTTTCAGCTTTTGAGAGAAGGTTAAGTACAAAAGATTTCGCCTCGACTCGGAGATCGGTCTTCTCTTGCCCCGGGCGGGAGGAAACCGCGTCGCCGGCGAATCGCGTGGCCCTCCTGTTGGGAACGGATGTCTGCTGTCGAAAGACGGCGATTCTCCTCCTCGAGGTGAGTGATCTCGCGTCGGTGTCTCGAGAAGCGGCGGGCGGAACGATCGTCGTTCACGCCGGTTCTCGACGACGTGGTTTCCTTCGCGCAGATGCATCTGTCCCGATTCGGCCCGCATCTGGCATCACGCATCGTGACGCACCGTCCGATCCTGTCTCGTTTTTCTCGTCAGTCGAGAAGTCAGTTCCTTCCTTCGGGGGACGGCTTGCTTGAGCGGGTTCTTTTCGTCCGACGATTCCTCCGTCGCCCGGAAGTCTTCGGGCGACTCCTCGAAACTCGTTTGTGCGATATTACAGTGACTCGCCCACCGATCTCTCCCGCTTTTGATTTTTTGTTTTTCGGCGTGGACAGCGAATCTCTCTCTCTCTCTCTCTCTCCCTCTCTTCCTCTCTCTCTCTTTCTCGCGCAAAGCCGCCAACAACGTTCGCCGTGGGACTTTCCACGGGGAGGAGATTGGTAGAGTAGTATCTTCTGAAGACTCGTTCGACTTCCCGCCGGCTTCACCGGGAGCCCCGTTCCTTGAAGAGGCGTCCGTTGTCGCCGTCGCTCGACCTCGGCGAGCAAAAGTCCCCGTGCCGAAGAAACGGTTGAAAAACGGACCGTCGGCCCTGCGGATGGATGTTTTCTCGAGATGTATCGTCATTGTCACACCTCCTTCAACAAATAGACTTTGTCCTCCGGATGAGCCATCCTCATCGGACCGTGCGGCTAACTCGGTCACTTTGTCCACACGAATCTCCGGACGGTGTATGCGTGTATTATATCCCTCTCCTTCGATCGCGCACGAACGATAAAGCGACGAGATCCGTTTCTCGCATGGGCTCTCTCTCTCTCTCTCTCTCTCTCTCTCTCTCTCTCTTTCTTTTTCTTCCTCTCTCTCTCTCTCTCTTACTCTTCTCGTAACCATCGCACTTTTCTCGCAATCTCTATTCTCTACGATATAGAAACACGACACAGATAACTCCTATCTAGTACTTCCCGATGGAATTTAGCCGTTTTTACCTACGCACGAATAGACATTTATGACGAGAAAGGGGGACCGTTAATCACGTAACAACGAAGGAAAATGTTCGGAGGTGTGGATCGTTTTCTCCTCTCGCATCTCGCGCGTCCCGTTCATCAGACGATGCATCACGGAGAGAATCGATGGACCGTCCCGAGACGCGCACATCCGTCGAATTCAGAGATACGAATCGTCTTTTTCTCTCTCTTTCTCTCTGTTTCTCTCTTCTTCTCATTCCGGGGTAACCTGGCCTACGGTACTCTGTCGTCTTCTCTCGTTCCGTTATTCTCTTTAACTTATACACTGAATACTACGCGGTGCTGTTTTGAAGCGGCAGCTGTGTCGAGATATTAAAAGTTTTACTTTAATCTCTGCTGATCGAGGAGAAGATGGGGCGAGGTCTCGCATCGACGAGCGACACTATATATATACGTATATATATATATATATATATATATACACACGTGTGTGATCGTACGACCCTCTGCGGTCGGGGTCGCGGGTCGGGGAATTAGAATATCCTAAGTCAATTGATTCGGTAACTAACGTACAGATTGTCCCAGGCCGCGGCACTTGCGGATCGTCGATTCAATCGGCCGATCGTAGCTACGCACGAACATGGTAAAATCGGTCTCGGTCGGTCCTCAACTTTGAGCAGTGATTGATTAAACGTATTGCAGGCGATATCAGCGCGCTATGGGCTTCAAACGGTGCAAAGTGTAGAAATACAAGTTATCCCGTTAGATCAAGGACACCCGGTGACGGACGCCATTCTTACTCAACGTAAATGTGAGCCTCGATCGTACGTGAAATTTTCCCTATCGATTAATCACTTAGAAATACGTGAATTTATACCTTGTATCCGTGCAAGGAAAAACCCCTACGATCCTTTNTTTTTTTTTTTCCCCCCCCCCCCCTCTCTCTCTCTCTCTATATATATATATATTCTCTCGCCCTCTCTTTCTCTGATCGCCCGCACCGTCTCCTCGTGAGGAAAGATACAAAGAACGCTTTAACTTAGAAGATAGTCTCGGTGTTTGACCTGCGCGGAAAAGACGGTCCTTCTTCTTCAGGGGACAACCTCTACATTGTTCGATACGATATCTACGATCCTGCTTAAAATAGGCCGCGAAGCTACGACCGCGAGGGGATCTCGAATTCGAAATGCCATTTTGTTTTCGGGTCTCCTGGAGGGGTCAGGGGTTGCCTGACGGGACGGTAGGTCGACTTGCGTGTAGTTCAACCTTTTCGATTTGTTTTCTTTTTGTTTTACTCCGGTCACATTTTCGTTCTCTCTGTTTTTTTCTCCGGTCTTTTAGCAGGAATGGGTCCAAAAACGGAATGATGACGCGTTCCGGACGTCGCTCAGAACTCGACTATTACGGCTGAGCAGGCTGCCAATCCCTAGAACTCGAGCCTATAGGCGCTGCAACTAGTCTCGTGATCCTGGAGGTTGATGGTGCACCGGGACGCGGAGGGCGACAGGTCTATGTGGTTCGCGGCGAGCGCCTCCTCGTTGTCAGCGACCCAGTAACCCAGGGTGTCGGTGTCGTATGTTGGGATCATGGTCACTTCTATTGAACGAGACACACAATATGTGATCAGAATAAGGACCGGCGAGATGAAAAGAAACTCAACAACCAAAGAAGAGTGAAAGACTTTTTGACTCGATGATAAAATATTAACTTTAGCTTCACACTCTTGGGTCAAATTGACCCAAGCGAAACATTAAGGTCATACAGTTGTTGAATCGTGAATTATTACACATATAAACACAGAATTCTTCTGTTAAAGCATGCAAAACGTTTCACTACTACGTAGAATCAATACATTGCTTTCTCTTGTACCTCTCTTAAATCGTCCATTTTTTCAATAATAACTGTGAGCAATTTTTTTTTAATTTACCTTTTATAGTACACTCACAAAACTGTAACATCCGTATACTAGATGAATACACCTATAGATATCTAAATAAGGGCATAGATCCGGAAAAGTTTCACGGAGTCAGCATGCCAAACTAAGCGGCAAAAGATCAATGTGCCGACGAAGGGTTGATAACAATGCTTAACAACAACTAGTATTATCGAGAAATGCGAAGATCTCTCTATGAAAGACTCTTGCTCGGCCGATATTACCTAAGCTTCGAGAGATCTCTTCAAGCTCGATAACCTTATTTCATCATTGATAAATCAGCGCGGACGTACCAAGATCTTTGTCCTCCCAAGTCTTTTTAGCTTCCAACAGAGCGTCGTAGACTTCCCGGCTGGGCTCGGTGCCGCTGAAAACATAGTATCTCGCGCGAACTCTCTTGAAGAATTCTAACGAGGTGTAGTACGAATTCCCATGGTGCGGGACGTACGCCAGGTCCATGTAGACCGGCTGGACCTTGTTCTTCGAGTCCTTCATCTTCTTCTCGTTTTTGCCGGGGCTTTCCGACCGCTTCTTGTTCTTTATGTTCTCCGACTGCACCTTCCTCGCCTGCTTCCGTTCTTTCTTCGGCGTGCCGGGCGCGCCTTTGTTCGAGACCTCGTTGGTCACCGGCGCCGGTGACGGCAATCTGAGGGGTTCCCCCCAGTCTTTCACCACGTCGAAGTTCAAGGTATCGGAGGTGGTGGCGTTCGAGCACGACGGTTGCGCGGGGTTCTTCAGGTTGAATTTCTTGGGCGGCTTGGGCGACGGCAGGCCTAGCGGGGTGCTCCATCCTTCCAAGGGATCTTTCTTCGAGTCCGCTTTGGCCTCGTCCTTGCTGTCATCCCTGAAAGAAGACGAGGGATGTTCTCTCGCGTCTCCCGTCTCATGCCGAAGACTACCGTTCGTGTACCTGGCCGCAATGCCGCTGCCGGGCTCCTTCATATCCTTGCGCTCCATCAGAGCCTTGTCGAAGTCGAGATCGGCCTCGTCGACGTACCTCTTCGCCTCCGGTTTCTCCGCGTAGCCGCCGGCGAACTCTTTCTCGACCATGAACCGGCTGTGCGCGGACTCGTCGCTCTTCTGCATGCCGGTCTCGCCGTGGAAGGTTTTCATCGCGGAGATCTGCGGCGGCACCGCCGGCAGCTCCCCGTAGAAGCTGCTGCTCATCGCGGCCGTCGAGAACTCGACCGTCTTCCGCTGCTGCTGCTCCTCCTCCTCCTCCTTGTCCGAGATCGGTTCAGTGCGGTGCGTCGTGTGCGGGGAGTAGCCGACCTGCGAGGTCGAGGAGAGGGGCGACGAGGGCGGCTCGTCTTCGCTGCTACCCCACACGTGGGTCGTGGCCTTGCTGCGCACACTGCTGTGCTCGCTGGGCGGGCTGACCCGATCCTTCTCGCTGGAGGACGCCTCGTCGGAGCCCGGGCTGTCGCTACGCTGCAACTCCGTGGACTTGAACGCTCCGTGGATGCTGTCGATGATGCTGCTGATCGCGGCGTCTTTGCCCGGCAGCCGCTCGTCCACCTTCACGTCGGTCTTCTCTGCCAGCACGACCGTCTCGCCCTTCTCGTTCGTCGTCTCGGTGACCTCGCGAGTGGTCGTCACGATCTCGCCCTCGTCGGATATCGTTTTCGTCGTCGTGATGATGGTCCGGATCACCTCGCCCGATCGGAAGCCTTCCGGTGTGGCGGTCGACGAGCGGCCGTCGGACCTCCGGTCGGGGGTCGACCGCCCGGAGAGGTGCGGCTGCGCGGCCGCGGCGCCGTCCCGGATCAACGGCGACACGGGGACCTCCGGGGTGGACTTGCCGGTCGAGCCGCTGAAGACGATGTCCTTCGGCAATGATATGTCGGGCGAGGACTTGCCGGAGTAGCTCTTGTCGTCGGATATCAGGTCGCGCACCAACGGCGATACCGAGTGCTCGTGCTTCTCCGCGGCCAGACGCGCCTCCCTGCCCGCCTCGAGCTTGTCCTCCTGCTTCGAGTCGGGTGTCGACTTGCCGGAATCGTAGAACGCCCTGACGTCGGGCGTGGACGCGCCGGACGTCACGGTCGTGATGGTCTCCTTGAAGATCTTCTCCGCGGACTTAGCCTCCGCCGCGAGCTTGCCGCTCTTGTCGTCGATCAGTTTCTCCAACAGCTCCTCGCTGTCCACGGTGTCGCTGCTCTCCTTAACGTCCTTCTTCGTGGTGACCTTGCCGTCCGGGCCGGTGATGGTGGTCACCGTCGTCACGATCCGCTTCACGTCAGCGCTCGCCGTGTCCGTCGGCGCGCTCTCCTCGCTCACGACCTTGTAGGCGGTGCCCGAAGTCGGGTCTGTGTAGATCTTGGACGGGTCGGCCTGCGACCGCTCGGCGTCCGAGAGCTCCTCCGTCACGATCGTCCTCGTTGTTCTCGTGGTGATCGTCTTCACGAATTCGCCGGAGTCCTCGGTGAAGCCGGCGGCAGCCTCGTCCTCGGGCACGATCACCTCGCGTTTGATCACCTTCGTGATGACCTCGGGCTCGTCCTGCTCGATGATCTCGCGCTTCACCACCTTGGTGACCACCTCCGGCTCGCCGTGCTCCACGATCTCGCGTTTGATGATCTTGGTGATCGCCTCGGGCTCGTCCGACTGTCCGACACTCGACGGCCGCTTCGCTTCTCTGCCGGCCACTTCGGCCTCACCTTCTCGATCGATCACCTCGCGCTTCACTATTTTCTTCACCACTATGACACCGCCGTCGTGTTCGCCGACCGAGCCGCTCGGCACGGTTCGCTTCGTCGTCCCAGCCACCTCTTCGGGCTCCTCTTCCTCAACTACCTCGCGTTTCACTATCTTCTTCACCACGATAACGTCGCCGTCGATCCCTTCAGTCACCTTCTTGATTACAGTCTCGGACTCCCCATCCTCCCCTTCGATCACTTCACGCTTCACCACCTTCCTCACTATGATCACGTCGTCTTCAGTCGATTCGTCCGCCGCTTCGTGCCGGATCACGTCGCCTTTCACCACCTTCGTCACCGTTCTCGGCTCTCCCACCTCTCGCTTGACCACTTTCTGAACTACATCAACGTCTTCCGTCGGGATCCGTTCGCCCACCTTCGTAACTTTCGCGTCCTCGCCGGCAATGCCGTCCTCCGAGCTCTCCACGGACGAGCTGAAGGCTCGCCTCGCTTGCCCAGCTTTCCCCTCCTCCTCCTCTTTGGCGGCTCCTCGCGGCCGCTTGCCGGCTTTGTCGCCGCCGGGCTCCAGTCCTGTTTCCGGCGTGGCGTCGTGCGTCGCGTACTCCGGCGTGGACTTGCCGGAGAGCGTGGTGATGTGCGTCGTCCTCATCTCCGTCATCCCGCCGACGAAGGCCTTGTGAAACTGGCTCTCGTAGCCCATCAGGTAACCGGGCTTGTCCAGCGGCTGCTCCTCCGAGTCCGGGTACATGCTGTACTTGACCGGAGACTTCCTGCCGGCGGCCTCCGCCGGCAGTTCGTAATCCGCATCGGTTGTCCTGTCGTAGTGATACATCCTCTTCTCGTACTCCTCGTCCTCCTCTTGGTAGATCTCCGGGTCGATCACAGACTCCCGCAAGTACTTCCTCTTCAGTATGATCTCCTCGATGATCTCCAGGATGATGTATCGCGGCAATGAGGTCCTGATGATTATCTCCTCAAGCGTCACCTCCGTGATCCTCCTACCCTTCTTGATGTACTCCTCCTCCAGCAGCTTCTCCGTTTCCGTCCGCTTCTCTTCGGACACCGAGATCTCCTCGTCTATGTGCGGCTCCGACCGGACCGGGCTGTCCTGCGTCGACTTGTCGGAGGGTATAGGCTCCGGGCTGAGGCTGGGGCTGCCGGAGAGCGCTTTCCCGTCTCTGCCGTATCGCTCGCTGCCCACGGGAGACATCTTGCTCTCTTCCAGACCACCGTCGTCCCGCTCTTTGGACGGGCCCAGGTCGCCGTCGATCACGGTGTCTCGGGGAATCTGTCTCCTCACGATGATCTCCTCGATAATCATGACGACGACGTATCGCGGCACGGACTTCAGAATCACGATCTCCTCCAACACCTGCCCTGTGATCTTCCTCTTCTTCGCGATAAACTCGTCGGTGAGGTAATGCTCGATCTCTGCTCGCTTTTGCGGCGCGACCACCTCCTCTTCTTGTTCTTCCCGTCGGATCGGCACCTCCTCGTCGACGAAGACCGAGCTCCTCGACATCTTGCGCCGGCTGATGATGTCCTCGATGATCTGCATCACCGTCATCTGCGGCACCATGTAAGTCATGGCCAATTTCTCGGTCACCAGCAGACTGATCTTCTTCTTGGGCACGATGAACTCTTCCAGGATGTATCTCTCGATCTCAGCCTTCTTCTCGGCCGTCATTTTAACGATGTCCTCCTCCTCGTCGTCCGGTCTCTTCATCTTCGCCGACCGTGCGGCTTCCGGCTCCTCGAAGTCGGCGAGGCCTTTCTCGCGGATCTTCTTCAGTTCCTCTTGGATCGTCTCAGGGGAGGTGATGGGACTCTTCGCTTTCGGCGAGCTCTTGCTCCCGTCCTCTTCGCCGAGCGGTTTCCCCGCTTCGCCGAGTTTGCTGGTGTCCTCCTTCGGCTCCTGAGAAGGCTCAGCGGCCGATTTGTCCTCGGGTAGACTGGCCTTTCTGCTGGCCGGGCCCTTCTCGTCGATGTCGAAGATACTCTGTGAGCGTGATCGGTCCTTCTCCGGGGCTTTGTCCACCGGCGAACCCGCTCCCGACGATTTGACGGACTCGCTTTTCGCGATTTGTCCGACCGTCGGACTCAGCGAAGCTGGCTGCTCGCCCTTCGTCTCCGGCTGCACGATCTTGCTGTCGATGTCGTCGAGCTTCTCGCTCACGACGCTGGACGCCCTCGACTTGTCCTTCTGACGATCGGTCTTCTCGTCGGCTGGACTCGGCGACTTCGACTCCGTCCGGTCGCTGATGATGCTCAACGACCTCGTCTTGTCTACCAGTTTGCTCGGCGCGTCGGACGTTCCCCGATCGGCGACGTCGCCTTTCTCGATCTCTCCTTTGTCGTCCGTCGGTTTGTCCAAGACGATACTCGGGGATCGCGGCTTATCGCGCGCCTGGGAAACGTCGCCGACCAGTTTCACGTCCAACTTATCGGGAACGGTCGGGGACTTCTCCTCGACGTCTACCTTCCCCGGCATTTTCATGTCCGTGAGGCTGGGAGACTTGTCGCTGGCATCTTCGTAGTACTCCTTGCCGCCGAGTTTGTCGTCCGACGTCCTTCCATCGGACTTGTCGCTGGCGGTGCTGGGAGATTTGCTGCGATCAGCGGATGTTTCCAATCTGTCGGAGGGCGACATCGGCTTCTCGATCGTCTCCGCTTTGTCGGTCGCGAGACTCGCGACGCTGGACGACCTGGATTTGTCGGCTGGCGGCTCAACAACGTCCTTCAGGTCCGGCTTCTCCTCCGTCACGCTGGTCGCTTTCGAGTCCTCGGCGGACTTTTTGCCATCGGACTTCTCGCTCGGAGATTTGCTTCTGTCGTGCGGCACCTCCGCTTTGTCGGTTGGTGGCTCAACAACGTCCTTGAGGTCCACTTTCTCCTCCGTCACGCTGGTCGCTTTCGAGTCCTCGGCGGACTTTTTGCCATCGGACTTCTCGCTCGGAGATTTGCTTCTGTCGTGCGGCACCCCCGCTTTGTCGGTTGGTGGCTCAACAACGTCCTTGAGGTCCGGCTTCTCCTCCGTCACGCTGGTCGCTTTCGAAGACTTCTCGCTTGGAGATTTGCTTCTGTCATGCGGCTCCACCGTTTTATGAAGAACCGTGGGCGACACCGGCTCTTTTGGCTCGGTCGTGCTTATCACACTGGGCGACCTAGACTTGTCGAGAGTCGGCTCCGACAAGTCCTTCAAGTCGCCCGTATCTCCGGCGACGCTCGACGGCTTGGAAGCCACCGCTGACTTCGTGCCCTCGGACTTCTCGCTGGCCACGCTCGGCGACTTGCTCCTCACGACTTCGTCCAACTTTTTGTCTAATACCGGGGATTTCGCTTTCTCCGACGGTTCCTTTTGATCGGACGCAATACTGGCGATACTTGGTGACTTGGACTTGTCCATTGGCTGCTCTGTGACGTCCGCTAAGTCGAGCTTGTCCTCGGCAATGCTCGACGACTTCGACTCGCCGAGGGATCTCTTGCCGTCGGATTTATCGCTCGCCATACTCGGCGACTTGCTCACACCAGGTGTCTTCTGCTCGTCTATTGGCTTCTCCTGGTCTTCGGGAATGCTCACAACGCTAGGGGATTTTTCAATTCGCTGCTCCGAGCCGAGGTCTCTTAAATCCGGCTTCTCTCCGGCGAGACTCGGTGACTTCGAGCGGTCCGTGGGCTCTTTCTGTTCGCTAGGTGACTTCGGTTTCTCGTCGAGAGTACTCGGTGATTTTTCACGATCGAGTGGTTCCTTCGTCTCGCTAGTGCCGCTTACGATACTAGGAGACCTCGATTTTTCTGTCGTTATTTCCGTGACATCTTTCGTGTCGGGTTTCTCTCCGGCAATGCTCGGTGACTTTGAGCGGTCCGCGGGCTCTTTCTGATCGCCAGGTGACTTTGGCTTCTCGTCGACAGTACTTGGTGATTTTTCGCGGTCGAGTGGCTCCTTCGATTCGCTAGTGCCGCTTATGATACTAGGAGACCTCGATTTCTCTGTCGTTACTTCCGTGACATCTTTCGCGTCGAGGCTCGGTGACCTTAGGCGGTCAGTGGGTTCTTTCTGTTCGCTAGGGGACTTCGGCTTTTCGTCGACGGTACTCGGAGATTTTTCGCGGTCGAGCGGTTCCTTCGACTCGCTGGTGACGCTCATGATACTAGGAGACCTCGATTTCTCTGTCGTTACTTCCGTGACATCTTTCGCGTCGGGTTTCTCTCCGGCGATACTCGGTGACTTCGAGCGGTCCGTGGGCTCTTTCTGTTCGCTAGGTGACTTCGGTTTCTCGTCGAGAGTACTCGGTGATTTTTCACGATCGAGTGGTTCCTTCGTCTCGCTAGTGCCGCTTACGATACTAGGAGACCTCGATTTTTCTGTCATTATTTCCGTGACATCTTTCGCGTCCGGTTTCTCTCCGGCGATGCTCGGTGACTTCGAGCGGTCCGTAGGTTCTTTCTGTTCGCCAGGAGACTTCGGTTTCTCGTCGGGAGTACTCGGTGATTTTTCACGGTCGAGTGGTTCCTTCGTCTCGCTAGTGACGCTCATGATACTAGGAGACCTCGATTTCTCTGTCGTTACTTCCGTGACATCTTTCGCGTCGGGTTTCTCTCCGGCGATGCTCGGTGACTTCGAGCGGTCCGTGGGCTCTTTCTGTTCGCTAGGTGACTTCGGTTTCTCGTCGAGAGTACTCGGTGATTTTTCACGGTCGAGTGGTTCCTTCGTCTCGCTAGTGCCGCTTACGATACTAGGAGACCTCGATTTTTCCGTCGGCGCTTCCATGACATCTTTCGCGTCGGGTTTCTCTCCGGCGATGCTCGGTGACTTCGAGCGGTCCGTGGGCTCTTTCTGTTCGCTAGGTGACTTCGGTTTCTCGTCGAGAGTACTCGGTGATTTTTCACGGTCGAGTGGTTCCTTCGTCTCGCTAGTGCCGCTTACGATACTAGGAGACCTCGATTTTTCCGTCGGCGCTTCCATGACATCTTTCGCGTCGGGTTTCTCTCCGGCGATACTCGGTGTCTTCGAACGGTCCGTGGGCTCCTTCTGTTCGCTAGGTGACTTCGGTTTCTCGTCGAGAGTACTCGGTGATTTTTCACGGTCGAGTGGTTCCTTCGTCTCGCTAGTGCCGCTTACGATACTAGGAGACCTCGATTTTTCCGTCGGCGCTTCCATGACATCTTTCGTGTCGGGTTTCTCTCCGGCGATGCTCGGTGACTTCGAGCGGTCCGTGGGCTCTTTCTGTTCGCTAGGTGACTTCGGTTTCTCGTCGAGAGTACTCGGTGATTTTTCACGGTCGAGTGGTTCCTTCGTCTCGCTAGTGCCGCTTACGATACTAGGAGACCTCGATTTTTCCGTCGGCGCTTCTATGACATCTTTCGCGTCGGGTTTCTCTCCGGCGATACTCGGTGTCTTCGAACGGTCCGTGGGCTCCTTCTGTTCGCTAGGTGACTTCGATTTCTCGTCGAGAGTACTCGGTGATTTTTCACGGTCGAGTGGTTCCTTCGTCTCGCTAGTGTCGCTTATGATACTAGGAGACCTCGATTTTTCCGTCGTTACTTCCGTGATATCTTTCGCGTCGGGTTTCTCTCCGGCGATGCTCGGTGACTTCGAGCGGTCCGTGGGCTCTTTCTGCTCACCAGGTGACTTCGGTTTCTCATCGAGAGTACTCGGTGATTTCTCACGGTCGAGTGGTTCCTTCGTCTCGCTAGTGACGCTTATGATACTAGGAGACCTCGATTTTTCTGTCGTTACTTCCGTGACATCTTTCGCGTCGGGTTTCTCTCCGGCGATGCTCGGTGACTTCGAGCGGTCCATGAGTTCTTTCTGTTCGCTAGGTGACTTCAGTTTCTCATCGCCAGTACTCGGTGATTTTTCACGGTCGAGAGGTTCCTTCGTCTCGCTAGTGCCGCTTATAATACTGGGAGATCTTGATTTCTCTGTCGTTGTTTCCGTGACGTCTTTCGCGTCGGGGATCGGTGACTTCGAGCGATCCACGGGCTCTTTTGTCTCGCCAGGTGACTTCGGCTTCTCGTCGAGAGTTTTCGGCGATTTTTCGTGGACAAGCGGCTCCTTCGACTCGCTAGTAGCGCTTATAACACTAGGAGACCTAGATTTTTCTGTCAGTGCTTCTGTGACGTCTTTCACGTCGCGGATCGGTGATTTTGGGCGGTCTGCAGGCTCTTTCTGTTCGCCAGGTGACTTCGGCTTCTCGTCGACGGTAGTCGGTGATTTTTCGCGGTCGAGTGGCTCCTTCAATTCGCTAATGTCGCTTATAATACTAGGAGACCTCGATTTGTCCATCGGTGCTTCCGTGATATCTTTCGCATCGGGTTTCTCCCCGGCGATGCTTGGCGACTTCGAGCGGTCCGTGGGTTCCTTCTGTTCGCCAGGTGACTTCGGCATCTCGTCGACGGTAGTCGGTGATTTTTCGCGGTCGAGCGGCTTTTTCAATTCGCTAGTGTCGCTTATAATACTAGGAGATATCGATTTCTCCAACGGCGCTTCCGTGACATCTTTTACGTCGGGTTTTTCCCCGGCGATGCTGGGAGACTTCGAGCGATCCGTGAGTTCTTTCTGTTCGCCAGGTGACTTCTCGTCGACGGTAGTCGGTGATTTTTCGAGGTCGAGCGGCTCTTTCGATTCGCTAGTGCCACTTATAATACTAGGAGACCTAGATTTGTCCATCGGTGCTTCCGTGATATCTTTCGCGTCGGGTTTTTCCCCAGCGATGCTGGGTGACTTCGAACCGTCCGTGGGTTCTTTCTGTTCGCCAGGTGACTTCGGTTTCTCGTCGACAATACTTGGTGATTTTTCGCGATCGAGCGGCTCTTTCGACTCGCTAGTGACGCTTATGATACTAGGAGACCTCGATTTCTCTGTCGTTACTTCCGTGACATCTTTCGCGTCGGGTTTCTCTCCGGCGATGCTCGGTGACTTCGAGCGGTCCGTGGGCTCTTTCTGTTCGCTAGGTGACTTCGGTTTCTCGTCGAGGGTACTCGGTGATTTTTCACGGTCGAGTGGTTCCTTCGTCTCGCTAGTGCCGCTTACGATACTAGGAGACCTCGATTTTTCTGTCGTTACTTCCGTGACATCTTTCGCGTCCGGTTTCTCCCCAGCGATGCTGGGTGACTTCGGCTTCTCGTCGACAATACTCGGTGATTTTTCGCGATCAAGCAGTTCCTTCGACTCACTAATGTCGCTTGTAATACTAGGAGACCTCGATTTCTCTATTGGCGCTTCCGTGACATCTTTTGCGTCAGGTTTCTCCCCGGCGATGCTGGGTGACTTCGAGCGATCCGAAGGCTCTTTCTGTTCGCCAGGTGACTTTGGCTCCTCGTCGACAATACTCGGTGATTTTTCGCGGACGAGCGGTTCTTTAGACTCGCTAGTGCCGCTTATAATGCTAGGAGACCTCGATTTCTCCGTCGGCGCTTCCGTGACATCTTTCGTGTCGGGGCTCGGTGACTTGGTGCGTTCCGTGGGCTCTTTCTGTTCGCTAGGTGACTTCGGCTTCTCGTCGACGGTACTCGGTGATTTTTCACGATCAAGTGGTTCCTTCGACTGGCTAGTGCCGCTTATAATACTAGAAGACCTTGATTTCTCTGTCGTTACTTCCGTGACATCTTTCGCGTCGGGTCTCTCTTCGGCGATGCTCGGTGACTTCGAGCGGTCCCCGGGCTCTTTCTGTTCTCCAGGTGACTTCGGCTTTTCGTCGACGGTAGTCGGTGATTTTTCGCGATCGAGCGGCTCCTTCGACTCGCTAGTGCCACTTATGATACTAAGAGACCTTGATTTCTCCGTGGGCGCTTCCGTGACGTCTTTCATGTCGAGGCTTGGTGACTTCGAGCGGTCCACCGGCTCTTTCTGTTCGCCAGGTGACTTCGGCTTTTCGTCGTCGGTAGTCGGTGATTTCTCGCGGTCGAGGAGCTCTTTCGATTCGATAGTACCGCTTATAATACTAGGAGACCTCGATTTCTCTATCGGCGCTTCCGTGACATCTCTGGCGTCGGGTTTCTCCCCGATGCTGGGTGACTTCGAGCGGTCCGTCGGTTCTTTCTGTTCGCTAGGTGACTTCGGTTTCTCATCGACAGTACTCGGTGATTTTGCGCGGTCGAAAGTCTCTTTCGTCTCTTCTGTGACACTGACAACGCTTGGTGACTTCTCCAAAGACGGTTCTGGAAGGTCCTTCACATCAGGTTTCTCCTCAGCCAGGCTCGGTGATTTCGTGCGAGCCGCAGCGTCCTTCTGCTCGCCTGCTGCGGAACTCACCGGACTGGGCGACTTAGACTTGTCAAGTGGCATTCCTGTCGCGTCTGCCACATCCTTTTCGTCTGGTTTTTCGGCGGCCAAGCTGGGCGGCTTCGAAAGATCGATTGGCTCTTTCTGCTCGCTGGTAGTGCTGACGACGCTGGGCGACCTGGACTTCTCCAACGGCTCGGTGACGTCCTTCAGGTCCGGCTTCTCCTCGGCGGTGCTCGGAGACTTCGAGCGATCGCCCGTAGCGCTTGCAACACTGGGCGATCTGGATTTATCGTGAGGTACCTCGGCTACGTCCTTCAAGTCCGGCTTCTCCCCGGCAACGCTGGGCGACTTGGAGAGGTCGGTCGGTTCTTTCTGCTCCCCGGTGACGCTGATCACACTCGGGGACCTGGACTTTTCCGTTGTCGGCTCGTCTCTCACGTCCGGCTTCTCGTCGGCGATGCTCGGCGACTTGGACCGGTCAGCGGGCGCCTTCTGCTCGACGCTGACGCTCACCACGCTAGGTGACTTCGACTTGTCAAGCGGCTGCTCCGCGACGTCCTTCATATCCGGTTTTTCGTCCGTGATGCTCGGTGACTTGGAGCGTTCGTCTTTCTTATCAGCCGCGATGCTCGAGACGCTCGGAGATCTCGACTTCTCGGCAGGTTCCGGCGCGAGACCCTCCGGCTTCTCTCCGACCGGGGATTTCCTTGCTTGCTCAGCAGGCTGTTGCTCGTCGATACTGGGCGAGCGCGATTTCTCGCGCGGCTCTTTGTCGCCGATGTCCAACTTCTGCTCGACCGGACTCGGTGACTTGCTCTTCTCGGGCGACTCTCTCGCTTCATCGCCGGTGACAGGTGACTTATCCTTGAGCGGTGGTTCCTTAGGCTCGCTCACGATACTCGCCACGCTCGGTGATCGCGACTTGTCCACTGGGAGCTGCATTGAGTCTTTCAGATCGACTTGATCGGGCTGCGTCGGGGACTTCGACTCGTCCTTCGGAACGTCGGCTTTGTCGTCCTTGACACTGGCGACGCTAGGCGATCGGGCGCTCTCGATCGGTAAATCCGCGTCCTTGAGGTCTACTTTTTCTGTACAAATGCTCGGTGATCTAGAACGGTCACTGACTTTTTTGCTATCTGATTTATCACTAACTACGCTGGGAGATCTATCTTTATCGTGTGGTTCTTCAGTCTTATCAATAGCTTTAGGCGAGTCTGGCCTATCAAAAATAGGGGATTTGGTTTTCTCTAAATAACGCTCCGTCGCATCTTGAAGGTCATCCAGCTGCTTGTCCGCGGCCACGCTCGGTGATTTGGAACGATCGGCCTCTCTGCTTTCGTCGGATCGCTCGCTGATCGCGCCTGGGGATCGAGCTTCGTCAATTGGTCCCTTTTCATCGTGGAGTTCACTCTCGAGAATAGGCGATTTCCCGCTGATCGTTTCCTTCTCGACCGCGCTTGGTGATTTCGACTTGTCGCTCCTTTCTTCTTCCTCGGCCGCTTCCTTATCACTTAGAAGACTAGAGGGCTTATCGAGAGACTTCTCGTCGGATTTTTCACTGGTGATGCTCGGAGATTTAGACCCGTCCGCCGGCTCCTTCTCGGCTTCCTTAGCCGCGTCGACGACCTCTGGCTTCGCTTCCTTCGCTTTCTCGTCGTCAGCCTCCGCGGGTGATTTTAACTTAGCCTCATCCGCTGTTTCCTCGCCGGGGGATCTCGGCTTGTCGAGCAATGCGACAGTTTCCTTCTCCGCTAAGCTGGGACGCCGGTCTTCCGGCTCGACCGTTTTCAACTCCTCCGCCTTCACACTAGCGACACTCGGTGAGCGCGACTTGTCCTCTGGCTGAGCGAGTGAATCGGCCGCCTTGTCAGCGTCAGCGACGCTGGGAGACTTGGAGCGCACTGATTCCTTGTCCTCGGATTTCTCGCTGGACGCGCTGGAGATGTCCTTCTCGTCCGGTTTCTCGCTGCTCACGCTCGGCGATCTCGCCTTCTCCGCCGGAACAGCGTCCAGAAGTTTGTCATCCTTGCTCTCCGGAGTCGGTGATTTTTCCTCAGCTTGGGATATCGACACGTCCTTGTCGGTAGTCGGTTTGATTTCTCTCGTGGGTTCGGTTGGTTTCTCAGCGACTTCCTCGGGCGCTTCCTCCTCGCTGATGGGCGTCTTCGCGAAGTACGCCTCGTGCTTGTCCGGTGATTTCGAGAAGATCGTCTCGGCCGGTGAAACGTCCTCCGATCGAAGAGATTCGGGTGTCTTCGGGACGCTTTCTTTTTCAGTTTCCGGAAGTATCTTCTCAATCGGGAGTGTCGGTTTCTCCATCGCTTCCTCCGCCGGAGATTTCTCGAGGGGCGATTTTGCTGTCTGCACATCCTCGTGCTTCGCCTCAGGCGGCACCTTTTTGTCCAACGTTGTTGTATCGGCCACCTGCGCGGTATCTTTCTCATCAGGTTCGAGCTTCTCAGCGATCGCTTCCACAGCGGGCTTGGCCACGTCGATCTTTTCGACAGCCTCTTCAGTTATAACTAGTTAATCAGTTAAAAGCTAGGTTAACGAGTTAATAATTTTTAACTTGACGTGGAATTAATTTCAAGTGATTTAACTCTTAACTCAAACGAGTTATTTAAAATATATTAACTTTTTAATGTTTTCTGTATATAAGTTAAAATAATTCATCAATATTGAAATCATTGCGAGCTGCTTACGATAGAAAATAAGAAGAATAAAAAATAATGTCAGCAGAATTTTTCTCTTTTCAGAGTTAGAATATTTTTTTTCGTGTCCTGAAGCATAAAACAGTCGGAATTTTCATCCATGTAAATATTATTACATATATCACTTTTGTTGAATTATCAAATTATCACATTGTAATAATTTTTTTCATTTATATCATATACCTCGTACTTTCAGAAGAAATTCGCTAAGAATTAAAAAACTGACTATCTTCCAGAAATATTTTCAATCCCTAAACTTCGAGATACGCAACATAAAAAAATATAGGTCTAATATAATTTTTTATATTCTACAACATATTCAAAGCCCGTTAAAATCAATGAGGGACACTTCCAACCGTCGCCCTGGTGGTTAAAAATGAAAATTAACTCACCCAATCCTGCCTCTTGGGGCGGCGACGGAGATTTCGATCTCGGTCTGTCCGCCTTTTCTTCGACCTCCTCGGCGGGAGCCTTCGTTATCTCGACGTGATCCTTGACTTCCTCCGCTGGAGATTTGGGTTTGCCGACTTGTTCGGCGACGAGTTCACCGGGAGATTTTAATTCCTCGAGCTTGTCGGGGACTTCTTCCGCCGGCGACTTCGGCTTCGTGATTTTCGCTTTGTCGTCGTCGATCGACGGCACTTCGGAATCCTTCCGCTCCTTACACGGCTCTGACTTCTCCAAACTGTCCTCGAGGTCCTGAGAGTCACGAGCGCCCAAGGGCGATTTCTCCAAGCTGTCTTCCGACGTGACCTTGTCTTTAGCGTCGGGCGGGGATTTTTCAGAGATACTGTCCTTCTCCGGCGTGCTCTCCTCTGAGCGCAAGGAATCCTTGTCTATGAGCAAGGAGTCCTTGTCCGGTGTGGATTTCACAGACGTGTCTTTCAGAGAATCGTCCGGGGTGACGGTCTTCATGAAGGTTATGGTGCCGGTCGGGCAAATCTCGGTCTCCTCCTTGCCATCTTCACTGCTCGCCGTGACCAACATTCTTCGCACGGTGCCAGTGTCCTCGTCGGTTTTCGACGGTTTGTCCTCCGGTGATTTTTTACCCTCATCCTTGGCCTCTTCGGGAAGCTCAGCCTCGATATCGTCTTTCGTCTTTGGCGCTTCGTCCTCCGGTTCCCGTGAAACGCTCCTTTTCCTGCGCGAAACTTCCTCGGCCGCTTCAGGAGGACTCTTCTCGTCCTCGGTCTCCTTAGTCTCCACAAGTTTGGGTATAACAGGAATGTCTTCTGCGACCAGTTGGAATTTCGGCTCCGTTGCGAAGCCCGTCGCGTCCGCTAATTTAGTTTCCGGTCTGATCGCTTCCACGACCTCCTCAGTATCTTTCAATAGCTCTTCTTTCGTCGGAGTTGTCTCTTTTGACTTCACATCCTCCACTAGGACCTTCTGGTCGGTCTCTTTGTCTGCGATCGCGGCTTCCGCTGCTTTCACTACCTCGTCCGTCACGGGCTTCTCATCGATCGCTTTCGGACTCGGTACGGTTGCCTTAGAAGTGTCTTCCGGCTCGACGGCTGCGCCAATCGACGGCCGCTTGTCGGGGGTGACGTCTTTGGGCGCCTCCTTCTCTTCGACTTCCTTACGTTCGTCCACTTTCTCGGTCGGAACTTCGTCCGCCTTGTCGAGGACCGGCGACACCGGCTTCGCGGTGGGCTCCTTCGGGAGAACGTCGTCCGTCTTTTCTTTAGCCTCGTCCAGGTACTTCTCGATGGTGTCGACGACCTCCGACACCTCGGATGTCTCCGGCTCCTCGGGCTCCCGCTTTTCGTCCGCGGGCTTCACGGCCTTCGCCACATCGACCTGAGGCTCTTCCTTGCCCGCCTTCTCTTTAGTTTCTTGCACGAACTTCTCGTCCGCTTCGATCACCTCGCTTGTGGTATCGTCTGCGGTCTCTTCAACTTCCTCCTTTTCCCTCATCTCGTCCGCCTTCTCGGGAGACGTGGCCGGCAAGTCGTGCACTTTGTACTCCTGCTCGACCGCCTCAAAGTCGTCGATCACATCCTTCTCGTGCTCCTTTAAGGCCGACGGCTCTTCTTCGACGGGAGACGCCTCCTTCTTCTTTACGTCCGTCGTGCCGTCGGAGATCCTCCTGGGTACGCTGACGAAGCCGTCCACCAGTTTCTCCTCCTCCTCCTCCTCCTCCTCGGGCACGGTGGGCGATTCCTTTTCAGCGACCTCACGCTCGTCCTCTTTCTTGTCCTCCTTCGCCTCGACCGGAGATTTCTTCTCCTCGGCCAGACCGGGCGCTTCGACGAGCGACTTTCTCTTCTCAGCCGGCACTTCCGCTTCCGGCGACTTTTCCTCCTCCGCGATCACGCGAGACACTTCCTCTTCGGTGATGCTCAGCAGCGCGCGCCTCGGAATCTTCCTCTTGACAATGATCTCCTCGATAATCTCGATGACGATTCTCCTGGATACATTCTTCTTGCCGCAGATCTCCTCGAGCTTCTCAACGGTGACGCCGCCGCCCTTGCCGACGTATTCACTGACGATATACTCCTCGACTTCCGCCCGTTTCTGCGAAGTTACCGGGAGCTCCTTCGTCTCCGAAATCTCGGGCACTTCGGTGGGTGATTCTCGCTTCTCATCTGAGACCTTCGCTTCCGGTGGCTCTTCCTCTCGCTCCTCGGCTGTCTCGCCGATGATCGCCGATATCTCCTCCACGGTGAGTCCGAGCACCGTCTCCCTGGGAACCTTTCTTCTCACGATGATCTCTTCGATGATCTCGATGAGGATCTGCTTGGGCACGGCCTTCTCCGCGGAGATCTGCTCGATCGTCGACCTGGTGATCTTCTTGCCTTTGACGACATACTCGTCGACGATGAGCTCCTCGAGCTCCGCGCGTTTCTGCGCCGCGATCGGCTCCTCCGGCTCGGCTTCCACCACGACTGATTCGCGCTTCGCGCTGATGTCTATCTTCGGCGTGATCTGCTCCTCCGCGGACTCCTCCGGCGACTCCTCCGGCGACTTCTCCGGCGGCTCCTCTCGAGCGATCTCCGACAGCACTTCCTCGGGAACGTCGAGCACCATGTGCCGGACGATCTTCCTCTTGACGATGATCTCCTCGATGATCTCGATCACGATCTTCTTGGGCACCACCTTCTTTATCGAGATCTCCTCGACGACCTGTATCGTGATCCGCTTGCCTTTGACGATGTACTCGTTCACGATGTACTCCTCGACCTCCATCCTCTTCTCGGGAGTGATCGGCTCCTTCAGCTTCAGTATCTCGGGATCGTCCACCACGCTCTCCCTCGGCAGGCCCTTCCTCACGATGATCTCCTCGATGATGTAGATGACGCGTTCCCGCGGGATACGCTTCACCACGGTGATGTACTCGATCACCTCGATCGTGATTCTCTTTTTCTTCGTGATGATCAGCTCCTCGATTATCTCCTCGACCGGCGCTTCCCTGCTGAGAACCACCTTCACGTCTTCGGGCAGCTTCGGCGCCTCAGCGGCACCCGGTGGACCCGCCGCCTCCAATTCCTGATCGTACATCTTGTCGGTGGTGAATTTCGGCGAGGTCGGCGCGGAGTCCGGTGTCACCATCACTATCTCCGCCTTCGCCGGAGATACCTTCTGCTCGAAGCCTATCACCGGCTGCTCTATCTCGCCCTCCGGCAGCTTGTCCTCGAGGGAGGGCCGTTTCGCCACCTCCTTCACGCACACCGTTTCGATACCGGCCTGCAGCACGTCCACTTGAGACGTGTCGGGCTCGTCCTTTGGCTTCTCATGCGCGATGTGTTCGTCCTCTTTCAGCATCTCCTCGCAGATCTTCTGGGCACCCTTGATGTCTTTCGTGATGTCTTCTTTCACGGGAGACACCATCTCCTCCTTCTTCACTGCTTTCACGCAGGGTTCTTCCTTCACCTTGACAGCGTCGGGTTTCTCGTACGGTGAGAGCAGCGGTTTCTCCGGCTTCTCCGGGATTAGTTCCTCGACTTCTTCGTGAACCGGGATTTCTTCTGTGATACCGACTTTCGTCGGTATCACGACAGACTCGAAATCGGGTTTAGGTACCTTCTCCTCTAGTTCGACGGCCTCCTCCGGGGATTCCTTCCCACTTGGTACGGAAGGCTTCTTTTCCGCCGGGACTGGGGAGATTTCTTCCTTCGACGGCTTCCTATCCGTCGGGACTGGCGAGATTTCTTCCTTCGACGGCTTCCTATCCGTCGGGACAGGCGAGATTTCCTCCTTCGATGGCTTCCTGTCCGTCGAGACCGGTGAGATCTCGTCCTTCTTAGCAGGCTCCTCAAACAACACCTTGTGAGAGAGGAAATCGTCTTCTTTAAGAACTTCGGCGACCTTCTTCACGATTTCCTCGACGTTCTTAGGCTTGTCGTCGATTTCAATACCGGCGGTGCCGGCGAGGACCTCTCCCACGTCCCTGACGGCCTCCTTCACATCCCTGAACGGTCCCTCCGGCTCCTCCTCTTCGTACTCCTCTTCGAAATCTTCGTCCTTCGGTATAGCAAATTTGACCTTTTCCGGCTCCTTTATGTCAGGCGAGAAGCTCTCGATATGCGGCTTGATCTCCTCCAACTTCTCGATCACTCCTTCTAAGGTGTCCTTCACCGCATCTGCCAAGGCGGGTTGTAACTCCTGCAACGCGGCGGCCATTTCTTCCTCCTCCTTGATCTTCTCCTCCAGAGACTCCAGGGAATCTCTCAGGCTGTCCTTGACGGTTTTGAACTTCTTCGACGCTTCCTCCAGCAGAGCCTTCACCTCCTCAGCGTCCTCCTCTATGCCCTCCTCTTTCAGGAGCTCGATCTCCTTCGCGATTTCTTGCTCCTCGAGTGATTTCGTCGATGGGACGACGACAGGTGGTGCTTTCTCCGACGGAGGCACTTCGATGTCGACTTTGGTGATGATTCGTTCCGGCTTATCGGTCGCGAGCTTCTCTTCGATATCCGGCACACTGGCTCTTTTGCTGTCCGATATCTCTTGTTGTATGAATGCCGCCGTTTCTTTGATGGCGGCAACCTTCACGTCGGCGATCGTGGGCTTCGCCTCCTCGAACGTCTCGGGTTTGTCGGCGGGTTTGCCGACCTTCGGGAACATCTTCTCCATGTCAACTTCCTCCAGAACCGTCTTCTCCTGGACCTTCGCTTCCTTCGGCGAGCTCGACTTCGAGGAGGACTTCTCCTCGGAATCCTTGTCGGCTTCCTTCTTCGTCTTCTTGGTCAGCTTATCGATACCCTTCTCGAACTTGTCGGCGACCTTGCCGAAGAAACTGAAGACACCTTTCTGCTCCTTGACAGGCGGCGTGGGCGGCTCTTTGACCTCCTGCGGCGTCGGCTTCTCCTCCTTGCCCTTCTCGAAGTCCTCCATCCTGTAAAGTTTCGGGTCGACCTCCTCGTGCACCGGAAGATCGGCGACCTCGTCGGGCGTCTTGACGATGTCCCTCTGCAGGCTCTGCATCGCTTGGCGGACGTCGAACACCTTGACCTCCGGTTTCACGGCGACGGGAACGGTCTCCGGTACGACTTCTTCCCTGAGCTTCGCCGGCGCGTCCTTCTCCTTCACCTCCTCGATCACGTGCTTCTCGTCGATGTCCTCCTTTATCTCGTCCAACGGTATTCGCTCGTCCTCCGGCAGGGTCGGGGCGGTGGTGGTGGCTCCGGATTCGATCGTGGAGATTCTCTCCTGGGACTCCTCCATCTTCTCGAGGACGTGTTCCTTTTGCTCGACATCTGGCTTTACGTCGGTATCGGTTTTCTTCTCCGACGAGTCAAGCTTGTCCGGGCTCAGGCTGGACGGCTCCTTCGTGATGTCCTCGCTGTCCTTCTTGCCGGAGTCATCCTTCTCCTCGGTCTTCTGCACGATCTCAGCTGCGGAAGCGATGATTTCCTTCACTTCCGCCTGCAGCTGCTCCTTGTGCTCGGCGGGTAGATCAGCGGCTTCCTTCTCGACCTTCTCCGCGGCCTTCTCGATCTTCTTCTCCGGGCTCTCGTCCTTCCCCTTTTCCTCCGGCTCTTCCTTCTCGCCCTTCTCCTTCATCGCCTCCACATCCTTCAGTATCTTCGCCTTCTCGGACTCGGCCTCGTCGAGCACATGCTTCTGTTCACCTTCGCCGCTCTGCGCGGAATCCTCGGTGTAGATCTCTTCCTTCTCGACGATCAGGTACTCGTCCTCCTCGGTCAGTTCTTGACTCTCCTTCCGGGAGCCCTCCTTCTTAGGCGCGTCCTCGATCTCGGCGGTTACGTCCTCCTCCGTGATGTCCTCCTCTTTCTTGTCGGTGGCCTCAGCGGTGATCTCGTCGTCGCCCTCGAAACGATCGTCCTTCCGAGTCTCCTCGATCCTCTCGGCCTTCTGCAGCACAGCCTCGATCTCCTCGACGACCTCCCGCTCTTCCTTCAGGTCCGCCAGCACCTTGCTCTCTATCGAATCCAGCGAGATGTCCTCCGACTGCTCGATCAAGCTCTTATCGATCGGCTTCACCGCCTCCGGCTCGATGCCGGACGGAGTAGAGACCGTGGACGAGTCGGTGGTGCCTTTGTCGCCCTTCACCTTGCGAATCACGCCGTCTTTGTCCGACTTGACGGAGGCGGTCGGCGTGCTGCGAGTGGATTTCGCCGGGCTGCCCGGCATGCGAGCCTTGCTCGGGCTGACCGGCTTGGCGCGACGGCTGATCGGCTTCCGGTCCATCGGCTTCGGCTTCGCCGAGACCTTGACCGCGGGCGCCGCCGCCGTCACGGTGTCCTTCGCGCCGGACTTCTCAATGTTCTTCTGTTCCACCACTTTCCTGTTGTTCGCTTCCTTGGCGCTCTTCGCCGGAAGACTGGGCGCGGCCTTGGACGCCGGCCTTGCCTTCGGCACGGCCTTCCAAATGTCCGTCCTGGTGCCGTTCAGGGTCTTCTTCGGAGTGGTCGGGGAAGACTTCACGGCGTCTTTCTTCTCCATGCCGGAAGGTTTCGCCTTCTTTTCGCTCGGCTTCGGCCTCGATATCAGCTCAGCCGCCTTAACGGCCTTCAGCGTGGCTCTGCCTTCCTTTAGTTCTTTCTTCTTCGGCTCGGGTTTCGGCTTGGGCTCTTTGGGCTCCTTCGGTTCCTTCGGCGCAGTCTTGTCGGGTTCCGGCTTGATTAGCTCGGTCTTTCTGATGTCGTCCTTCTTCGGTTCTTTCTTCACCTCCTTCAGCTCCTTCTCGATCTTCTTGCTTTCCTTCGCGTCGGGCTCAATTTTCTTCGCCTCCTTCGCTTCGGTCTCGATCTTTTTGTTCTCCGCGACCTTCTTCGTCTTTACCTCGGACTTGGGCTTACTCGTGGGAATGATCGGCGTGGATTGCGGAGTGGTCCTCGACGCCTCCTCCGCGGCCTTGATCGACTTGGGCTCCGACGGTTCCCTCTTGTCCTTCCTCGGCTCCGAAATCTTCTTCGACTCCTTCTCGATCAGGCTGAATTTCTGTTTGGCCGGCTTGTCCCGGAGCGTCGCCAACGACGTCGACGGCGACAGCGTCTTCGCCGAGCACACCGGGTGCTTCAGGAAGTCCAAGTGCTTAAGCCGCTCGAAACCTTCGAAGATCTTATGCTGCGGCGTGCTGCCCGGGAAGAGGATTCGCGTGATGGTGTCCTCGGGATTAGCCGGCTGCCAGACCAGGAGCGCGCATATGGACACGAGATTCTGAATGGGGAATGTGAGATTGTTGCTGTCCTTCTTGTGGGAGCCAGCGAACAGCTTCGAGTCCGACGCGTGCCACTTCGCCAAGAACTCGCGCACCTCGCGACTGTCCTTGCTCGGGCTGAGGACGTACATGTCCAGCGTGCCGTGGCCCACTTTGTGGTAGAGATTGATCGGGTCCGGGTCTCTGTAGCAGGGATGGACGCGGAGATTGATGTGCCGCAGATTCAACACCATCTCCTGCCCGATGTCGGTGAGGTTCAGGATCAGCGGATCGATGTCCTTGTCGCCGTCCGGTGAGTTTGATTGTCTTCTTTCCTGCGTCGCAGATTATTCGGGTTATTCACGCCAGCTCGTGGCATGCCAGAGGCGAACGTGCACGAGAAAGTATAACGACGAGCTGGGAACGCTTTTAGATCGCACTGGTCAGCATGAAAATTATATCTTGGCTCGAAACAACCAATTCCAGTCAATTTCGTCGTGTCAATCGCAAATATAACAATTAAGATCAAAACTTCGCTATAATCATATAGTAAGAAGGGAGGTCCGAAGGGGAATTCGCTTGTAGGGACAGAAATGTATCTCCAAGAGGTTTGCATTACTCGGTCGATCGTTCTTCATTATCCCAATTGGATTTTAATGCAGCCGAATTTTCGGACGAGTGCTTTCGGTCGCGGTAATTCGTGAATTCACGGATAGATGATTTCGTCGGCTTCGAATTTTCATCCAGTCTTCGAATGTGATAAAAATCCGATTATACGGAGCGATTTCTTTTTTTTTTTTTTCATATAAAAAGAGAAGAAAGCGACCATAAATTGGTTTGTCTTGAGAAACTTGTTCAGCGGGAAGCCGTTATGATAGCACGCAGTAGCGATATAGATCGAAGTCAAAGTGTGTCAACGAGAAGGTAAGAGTGTTATGAAGTGAAGAATACTTACAACTAAGTTACAGAAGAAATGGCCGATCTGAGGATAGACGTGCATTTCCTTCTTCTTGCGAAGGACGCTGAACATGCCGCCGATGTTGCTATTATTTATCCTAGTGACTAGAACTGCGTCCAACCGATCCAAGTGCCTGGTGAAGTCCCAGAAGCAAGCCTTCCTGGCGAAGCCGCCGTCGACAAGCATGTTGAAGCCGTTTATACCGAAAAGCGCGGCGTCACCTTGTCCACCGGGGAAGACGTATAAAGTCGGATGGCTAAATCTAATGTTTCCAACGACGTCGGACGGTTCCATGAGCTGGTCCAGTGTTTGCGCCACGAGATACTGTCCGATATAATTCGTGAAACTCGTGATAGCCGGCACACCGGCTGTGAGAACATCGTCGGGATTCACTCTGACTCTGCAAGATCTGCAGGCAGACAAGAGCGACGATAAGACACGGCAATAAGAATATCAAGGACTTTCCGAAGATTTTCAACAGACGATCCCCGTATACGATATTTATTTATATTTAAAAATTCATATATGGAAATTATTTGCATATTATATAATTATAATTAATTTAACAAACAAAATGGATCACATAAAATTGATATATAATACATATATTTTATATTATATTAATATATGTTATTAACCCTTTTAGTGCCGGGAGCCGATATATCGGCTCCTGCTACACCGGCGAGAAGTGCCAGAGCCGATATATCGGCCCGCACCTTGTAGCGCTTTACTATTCGCATTGCGAGAGATCTCTATCAAAATAAATTTAAAATACGTTATAAATAGTCTAATTTCATTACGAGAGAATTAAAATAAATAATTTTTAAATATTGCTTTTCGTTTGGTTTTTATGAGCCTTTTACCAAATCCTAGTAAAATCGGCCGGTTATCTTCGCATAAGCACCTCTTTTTCGCCCGGCACTAAAAGGGTTAATTATTATTAAGTGTACAAATGAATAATACAAATTTTTTAAGCAATTAGAAAATTAATTTAAATTTAATTTCCCTGCTCTTTTGAGGTTATATATTGTTACTAAGATCTTATAAAGCCTAAATTAAAATTCTATAAAAATGAGGAGTTTGTTTAAAATTGATTAAGAAAGATTTTTTTTTATATTTATTTAGTCATTCGAAATTTAGTCCATAAAAAAGCTTTGTCGATCGTTCCTATCTCGGAAATCACCGATGCCTCGACGTTTTTGCAGGGGAAAAATTATTTCTAGATTGCTCAAAGAACGATAAAATTAAGATTGCAAGTACTAGAACGCTAATATAATATTTAATGTATGTATATAAAGAATCTTGTCCATTTTTATATAGATAAATATCTTTTATCTACTCGGGCTCCTTGCGGTTAGCAACAGATTTCAGCTGAAATGAAAAATTATTGTTAGAGGATAAAAATATTCCATAGATACAATCCTTCAAGTCGACGCTATTCAGAGATATACTCTTTGAAATATTGGAAAAATATACTAAGTGGCATTCTTTTATTTGATTTCTCGGCATCAAGAAGACACTTCTCTGTAGTGGAATACCCGCAAGAAGAGGCAAATAACATTTTCATTTAATCAAATAAGGAAACTTAATTCCTTAAGTGATTTGCCGATTCAGACGGCCTTTTCAGCAACGGATATTAGACTTTCAACAGTCTATCCTTCCTCCACCTTGATCAATATGCGATTTATTACTAACCACGAGGAATCCAAAGTCGACAAGGTTCTTTATATTTTTCTTAGAAATTATTCGATATATACCGACGTCATATCTCCACGATTGCACGGCATTTGTTCAAATGATTTGCACGAATGACGATAGAATGGAAAATATCGTCTTTCTGTAAGAATAACGAACGAGGTACGCACCTGCAACAAGTCTCCTTTGATAACCGGCTCGTCGTCCAATCGCCGACACCCGCGCAATAAATATCTACGGTAACGCTATTCTCGTAGGCACGAAGGACTCTTTGCACCTCATGTTCACTGAACGCATCCAAAAAGTCTGCGAGACTGAAGGTCCCATCCTGAATAATAATAATATTGATTGCGTTGCTAATTCGCGATAACTCTCTCAGGATCCGCACGGCGAATATTGCACGGTGTGGATAGCGTTATTAACCCTTTGAGTCATACATTTTATTTCTTGACGGAATTTTTTGAAATGTGGTGTCTAAATATTGTTGGGGTCGCTGATTATGAATCTGAGGTTTACAAAGGCAGAGTTTTAAAATTCAAAATCGCCGATCCAATATGACGGACCAATTATTCAAGAATTTTGATTTCTCAGTGATATCTTTTTCATATTTGGAATATAAGTTTATTCTTATATGTTAACAACAACAAAAATCGACATTCAAATGGCGGATTACTGGCGGGTAAGAATAGCGACTTTAAATTTTCAAAATGAATGATCTCGTTTTTAACATTACCCAAAAATAACGACGAGGACGTAGCGAGTAACTATTTCAACGTCTTTTTTATATATTTATATTTATTGCACACCGAAGTAAGTTAGCATCTCGCTTTATTTTAGCTAACTTTTAGTAAATTTGTTAGGATAGAAGAGGAGGATAAATTTACCAAAAAAAAATCAAAATATTTCAATCATTTATCGTAAAAAATTGAACCTACGAAAAATTCTGTAAAAAATTTGTAAAATACTGTTAAGTGTCCTTAACAAACTGATAATATTGTGATGTGTCGATTCCTAATAGTTCGTTTACAAATTAATTTTTCTGAAAAAAAAATATCTGTTTTTAATTTTCCTTTGTGTCTAGCAAGTTAACGATTAAACATTTAAACCACATGGTATTCATTTTTACTTCCTTATGCTTTTGAGAATGTATAGTAATAATATAGTCGACTATGACTGCCTGGAAGTTAGTTAAAATCACTGAAAATGAAGAAAATGTTGGTGGGATAACGTATGGTCCCATTGCGACGCAAAGGGTTAATAATTATGCGCGGCTGCATAAGTTATATAAATTATACCTGCAGTATCCAGGAACCATTACCACCGAATGTGTATCCAGCGTGTATGATGTGCCGGTGTTTCGTGAAGCTTGCGAGAAGGTTGCGAATACATTGCAACAACGTATTCGTCTGCGGATGTATGAGAACTTCGGTCACGAGGTTCTCGGTAGCATATTGGATCAATCTTTCGCCTGAAAAGCCCATTCGTTCGTTTTACCGACAATGAGTATCGCACGACAAAGTAAAAATGCCGCCTGGTCGAAAAGGAAGCGATCAGGAAAGTTTCCAGTGAGTTGGAAGGAAGCTGATTACGGCACACTGGAGCGTTCAGGCCGATCTGGAAGATTGCTTTCCGCGAGTTTCCCACACACTACCTTGACACGTAATTGTTCGATTCGTCAACGCTTTCCCCAGCTTTCGAAATTTTAACACCATATAGGTACGTTATATAAGCATTAATCACAAAGACATCGTCATAGCCGTTGAACTCACTGCTTATCATCTGATCATCGAGGCATTTAGTAAAGGTTCGAGCGTGGCTCAGAAGTGGACAGGGAACCGACCGCCTCTCAGGATCAAAATTACGGAAGGACAATTTCTTTCTCTCTGTGCACGCATATCGAACATTCGCAGAAAGCTCCGCGAAGACTCATGTCCACTTCTTCCGAACGCTCCGAATAGACCATAATCAACTTCCAGCAAGCTACGCGGCTACTTATGTTAAGTTTAAAATACTTTGCCACGCAGCTTACCGGACGCTTGAATGCATGCTTGGATGCAAAATATTCGTTGATAACTTGATTTTTTATTAAGCGGTATTATGAAAATTTCGGTGCACGCAGCGAGTATCGTAGTTTTTTTCAAATGTGAAATGCTCTTCAATCTTGCCATGCTTTTTTAGCAGTGAACGAAGAGATTGACAAAATTCACTGACAGTGGAGTTTATCTTGTTAATAAACATAATAAATTATTTAATGGTAAATTTTTCAGTATTTAAAATACAAATGCATGCAAAATGGAAGGATAATGAAACAAAGTAGAATGTCAATATATTTCTCCGTTACAAAATTCAGTAATTTTTACTATAAAATTCTCTCCCTCTCTCTCTCTCTCTCTCTTTCTCTTTTCACATGTAACCATTATGGTATTAAAATTATTGGAAGTCCAATTACCCGGCACACGCCAGAGAATTTTTTTCGAAAATATAAACATTCATGGACCGAAAAAGTACCATAGTAATTTTGCTCGGCTAGGATATATTTAAGATAATAACAATGTCAGAACAATTTACAACACAATTACAACTGCACATCGCTGCCTGGACCGTAATCTATATCACAGTGAACAATCTGTCTTTCTGCTGTTTTCGTAGACGCACATATACTATAATACTACATTACAGTAGTTACACAATACTTACAGCCAAGATCAAATTTTATCCCATATTGGTGTTGGAAATAACGCGCAATCCAAGCTGCATCGTTGAAAATGCACAAATCACTATGGGACATTTTTTATCTCTTTGATATTCCTTTGTACGTATGATAAATTTATGTACAATCAGGTGGAAAAATATATATAATCAAATTATTTGTTTATTACTGTCATATATGTAAATTTCAGCTTCAGTGTGAGTATATCCCAGTCGTGCAATACAAGTTTAGCAAATTGCGCTATTAATATTATTGTTATTTAACAAGAATCGTCTGCGTCTATTGCACCGAAATATTCATGATACCGACATTTAATGAAATTGATATTTTTCTTTTTTCAGTTGTTGCGTAATATCGAGAAATGGCGGTATAAAATTGTATTTCTTATTATATTGCTTTCAATCCCTGCTCAAAACAATAATTACCGTTTCTGGCTTCCTCGCCTTCGGGGGCTTGTGCTACTAAGGCCAATAATTCTTTCTCCAGATCCACGTGACAGCTGTCTTTGTCCCATGATAGAAAACCTATAACAAACGGAAACGATGGTTGCTAAGTATAAGCTGAACTTTCCAGCTGAGTCCTCTTCATACATGTTAAGCGGATCGCCGTAATATCGAAAAACTTTTAAGAATGGCGTCTGCATATAAATTGTTGCTCTTCAAGCTTGAGTGTGTAGCTTTAGGTACTCCAGCGACATGCTCTCTCTCTCTTTTTTCTTTTTCATGAACGTTACCAAGCTCTACCGAGCCTGGCTGTGATATTTTGAATAGAAAGTAGGTTGCACTCGTTTTAGATCATCGGCGTATGCGCGACCATGTTAAACCCGAGAGGTAGATCCGCGTAAACGGATGCTTCGTTGGAAATTGGATGACAGGAAAAAAAACTGCGATGCAAAAATTACAATTTCCACTTCACAATGTATCCACCTGTTTCATTAGATTAAATTAAATAAAAAAATATTGGGAAAAATATAAATATGATTTCAAAAATTGACGAATAAAATTGGACCTATATGACAGCTAACATGGTTGTTTAAGCGTTATAAATATATTTGTTTGAAAAAATTCGCGTCAATACGCGTCAAACGTTTACAGTTATACATATTGACTATGTTTAATTATTTGAGACCTTTATAGTTTTCATTAACACTTGTTTACTGAAAAGAGTCGACGATGGACCGAAATATTTGACTCGTTAAATTGATAAAAGTACATATATTATGACGCTCGCGGAAACAACTGCATCGGCTGTCACAGATCGGCGGACAATTTTACTTGTCAAATACATTATCGGTTATGATACATTGTTTAGGTTACGTGTAAAATCGGGTGTTGCAAGTAGAGTGATGCAAACCTAGTAATCGTCAAAGTTCAAGACTTTCGCGGGGGTTAGTAAGACAGTGGGTCATAACTGCGTATAAATGTATAAGAATGCATCGGTTTGGCTTCACGGAGGTAGGGTGGTTCAGCCACCGAGTGATGTAAGGTTAAGGTTAAGACAGTAGAAGCTGTCAAGCCCAGTCATAGCTTGATGGATGAGAAAAGTAAGTTGATATCGCATTATACGAGCGATGCCATTTTTTCTCAGCTCTTTATCAGTGAACAAAAGAGACATGTGGGCGAAATGAAAAAAAGAAATGAGAAACGTAGATGTGTATAGATAAATGTATTTATTTAAAAAAGTTGATCTCCGTGTTTATTCGTAATATTTATTTATGAATATTGGACAGTATTATATTTTAAGAAGACACGTCTCTAAAAAAACTCGCATGTTCGCTTACCGTATTCTGAATTAAATATTTTAGTCCGGATATACGAAGCGAGTATTTTCGCATAAATTAAAAGATCCGTACGATGGGGAATAATTAATATTCCCGGGCGGTGCGAGAGGTTTACAATGTTTGTCTTCCGTGAAAACGTAAAGAGTGTAAATATTTTGCGAATACACGTAGGAAGGATCGCGTGCAAATTATCGGAGGGGTCCGGCGTAATAAGAGAACAAAGAGAGCGTGCGGTTCTTCCGAAACGTAATGAGATAATTAGAATGAATGAATCAGCAGTCGCAGTTTGCCGGGAGGGTTGTTCCGCCGGGGGCGGTGGTTTCATGACGTCACCGACACCGCGCCCCGTCACGTGGTTCCTCGCCAGCTGGCAATCGATCGCCGCCACATCCTGTGTACCCACCCTCCGTCGCCAGCTTTAACGTGGAGGTACTCCACTTCTGATATCGTGCGACGACGATTTTCTACGTCCCCCAGAGTCGTTTAAAGAAATGAAAGCATGGTGTAAAAATACAAAAAAATTATAATCGAAAAATTGAAATTTACGAAAAGTAACTATTGTCGCGATACCGCGACAGTTACCCGCGAATGGTACCAAAATGTGTGTATGTGTGTGTGTGTGTGTGTGTGTGTGGTAGAAACAAATTGTAGAACGATTGAAAATTGTTTGTGAAATCGATAGTTCCACTCCCGAGACTTCGATCTTGCCTCTCAATATTTCACGAGCTAATCGCACCGCACGGGGTTAGTTCGGCTCGCTTCTCTCGGATCTCTCCTCTTTCACGCGAGGGGAAGAAACGCCGAAAAAATTCCGCCAACTCTTCTCGCGTCGAATTAAAGAATCGACGATGCGACGTACAATGGAAGCGTAACTCGCGTTGCCAGGGGAGTTCGAGCGAGCGTTCTCGCGTAATTCTATATAGCCAGCCAGTGTACACGGACAAGTCTGCTCCGAGACGTTGCCTGGCAACTGGTCGTAGTATCAATCAATGCCGCGGATAGAGAGCATTAGTCGGGGAAAATTAACGAAAAAAGGCAGAGAAAGGGAGAGAGAAAGAAAGAGAGAGAGAGAGAGAGAGAGAAAATGAGAGAAAAGGCAAGAAAAGGCAGCGCGGTCCATACGGCGAAAATTCCTCCTCTCTCACGCTGCATCCCCCTCCCCTCTCGCGTTGCCTCCAATTTTATCCCGCAATAAGTAAATACGCGTGCATACTTTCCGGTAAACGTCGACGCTATTATTAACCGCGACTCACGCGCGAAAACGTGCGCACTCTCGCGTCTCTCGAGCCGGGCGCGAGATCGTCGATTAATTAATCGGGATTTATATTCCAGATTTACGATCGATGTTATATATTCCGTCTGTCTCCCCGCGTTGATCTTCCGAGCAGTTATCCGAGCGAATTTTTCGCGAGAGTCACCGGGTCGTTCGGGTCAGGTTAACATATCGATCGGAGAGGAAAAAACTGAGGAGAATTTATAGAGGTCTGCGGGGCGCGGTAAATATGAATGGTACATCCGCCACGTCGAGCTCGTGCGCGGCAACGCGAAGAGTTACATCACCCCGTTTCGAGATGTATCGAACGTACACGGGAAAGAAAAAGAAATTAATCTTAAATCAAGAATATTCTCACATACAAGCTAGAATATTAGAAATCTTCTTAAGAGGACTTGAATTTCTATTGACGCGAGTATCAATGAAATTCAAGAGTAAAAATCTTCTAAGGAGATTATAATATTTTTGCTTTTATAGAGAGCATCTATTCTTATATGAGAATATCTATTCTTAATTTAAGACAAATGTTTTTCTCCCGTGTACGTACACGGTGCCGCGGTACGCGTCACCGGAAGCCCTAAAGGCTGATACAAGAGAAGCCGTGCTTCCTCCCGTCACTTAATGCTCACTGACTCTCATCGGTTTCGGCTGCCTATCGGATGATTAGCGTGACACGAGCCCCGAACATTTGCACGGAGGCGAATCCCCTCGAGACAACTCGAAAAAACATCCCACTCGACTTCTCCGGGAGTCACTGACTGGGGAATAATTAAATATAAATAATAAAATTCAAGACATATATTCCAATGGACGCAATCATTATTTACATATATAAGCGAGAATATATTATCTTCTTACGAGAATTTAATATTCTTGAATTTCAACAATATCATAATGTTATTGCAAGATTACATACAACAGTCCACTACAGATCACAATATGATTATTCTGAAAATAGTAAATCCTGTTGCAGCGTTAAAAAAATTATGTCGAAAAGATAAATGTGTTATTTTGAGTAATTCTATGTTTGAAACAAATGTACGGTAATGTTCTTCCAACAATATGAACGTTTTCACTTCAAAATACAAATCACTTATATTTGAGACCGTCTTTAGTCAGATTCATCTTTAGATACTTTGTAGCCAATGAAGCCACCCGTATAATATCTGAAGATATGCTTAAGATAATCTTAAATATAAAAGATATATTCAAATGAAAATAATTTAATTTAAAGTTAAAGAAATCGTAATTCCTGGTTTGAAGATATCGTTCTTTTCTGTCCAATATTCTTTACTCTCAATTCAAGAGAATTATTCTTGAATAACGAGAATATTATATTTTTAGTGGGACTATACATGGGATTTCTTCGTGCAAGCAAGCTTTACCTATTCAACACTCATATAATTTTACTTCAACATGTACATGTTGAGAATGCGGATTTTCTTAAAATAAGAATATTCTTTCTTCCCGTATGCCCAGCTCGCGAAGTTAAGTCCACCGTGACGGTTTCAATCGCCGATCGCTAATTTGCGCACGATGCCACACGACCTCGCGAACGCACGGGGGTTAATTAATATCGATGGATTAACATCGGTAGATTCAAGTCGCAATTCCGTCCGAAGCGTGCAGTTTTCCCGCTCGTTCCAGATAAATAATGTTCTCGCGTGAAGCAAGGCATTTCGCGGATAAGTCCCCCTCCCCTTCGGCTTCCGCTTCTATCTATTTTTTTTCCAATTCCCCGCTTATTACCGGAATGGCCACTAATTGCAACTGATGAGCTCTACGACACATTACACTACGCATCGGCTTTTGATTTACCGCATATAATAAATTTCATCGGATAGCGTTGCCTCCTCGCGATGACTACCGCGTATCTCGACTCGATAATTGCTCGGCCAATTAGCGCTCGGCCAAATACTGTTAACTAAACGCAACGGCTTTTATGAGAATATCGGTCTGTATAATGGATTTGACAGACCGGATGAAACAGACGATTCGTTAGACGCGGTCACGGAAAGAGATAAAGGGAACTGCGGCGGGAAAAAGGACCGGTATATGTCGAATGAAACAGTTCAACGAGCGTTCCGGATACACGCCAGAAATTCGCGGCGCGTTACCATCTTCATGCTTCTCTGCGATTTTCCAGACAGGTTTCTTGCTGGAACAGAGAGAGCAAGCGAGACAGCGAGCGGACATTCCACGTAGAATGTTACTTGGAATCTAATTGAGATCCAGTGTGCGCGATCTCTCCAAAAGATTGTAGACTCTGACGGGGAAGTCTACGTAAATTTGAATTGGAAGTTTAATCTTTCAATCACGCGATTCTAAGTGGGAAAAGCAAACGGATCCTCTTTGCTCTCTCTAGCGTCTTTCCAAAGATATTTCTCTTGTTTTTGTTTTACGTTAAAGTCGATTTTATTGGACAAAACGTACCAAACGTTTCAAGTATATTTTACTAAATATAAATATCT